AATATTTCTGCCACTGTAAAGTTCACTTTGAGGCATGATTTTAAATTATTTGTGGGGGAATTAGGGAGAGTCAATTAATTTCCTGCCTTATTTGGCCATCTTCCCAGAATCCTCCCTGGTATGTTTTGTTAAATTTAAGTCTGTAAGAGAGGATTCTGGGAAGATAGCAGAGTAGGTCAGTAAACTTTCAGCTCTCCAAATTTCTTTCACAAAAAAATAGCATCACCTCACAGGGAACCTAGAGCAGCGGAAATAAACAAGTCAGAGTAAAGCACCTGTTCTCCTAAAACAATCTGAGAAGAGCCCAGGAAAGACCCAACCTCCAGGGGCAGAGGCCTGAGTGAAGTACAAACACCTTCAGGCCAACTCAGTGGAATCAACAAACAATAAGGCCTGGGGGCAGCTGGAGTTGGGAGGCAGCCTCAGCCTTAGGAACTTTTCATCTCATGGACAGTGGGGGACAGTGTAGAGATCAGATGGCTGAGTAGAAGATTGAAGGGCTTTCCACTGTCGAGAGACACCAAGCACAGTTGTGCTGACCAGACTCATCCTGGGCTGTAGCTTTGGGGGAGGAGTTAGCACACACCTGGTGAGTGCAGTAGCAGAGGGGCAGATTGGGGCACTTACTCTACTGGTTCTGGGCACTTACAGGAGAGCAGATTCCTAGTTTCAATTCCAGGGCAGAGAGGACATCTGTAGTTTGCAGTCACTCAAGGGACCACAGGGAACAAGATCATTAAATATCATGGAGATACAATAAGGTTTATACAAAACCTAGTAGCTCCTACGTTGAAGGACTATAGGTCTTGGATACTATATTTTGTAGAGCAAAAGAACTGGGGTTATGACCAAGGGTAACTTACCCAGCATAGTTAAGTGTAATCTTTAATGGAAAAAAATGGATATTTAATGAACTAAAGACCATTGCATATTTGTGACAAAAATAGCAGATCAGGAGAAATATAAGGTAAACATTAAAGACCAATTATTAGAGATTCAAGGTCAAATTGTTTGCTTCTCATATATGAAAACATTAGCAGTACTCTTATGACCATCATTATTATTTGGGTAATTTGAAAGGTAGGTGTATAAGAATGGTTTTGGCAATCAGTTATCAAGCATTTGTTAAGCTCATACTATATGCCAGTACTGTTTTAATACACAGGTGATAAGAAGAATAGGGACTAAATTTCTTTAGTATAGGGAACTCCCTGAAGGAGGAAACTTCCTCTACCAATGTAGGCTGGCACTGTCTTTATAATATACAGTCTTAAAGTTGCCCCAGATTACTGAGAGCTTAGTTCTAGAGTCACAGCCAGTATATGTCAAGCAAGACTCGAACCAAGATCTTCCTGGCTCTAAGACTGACTCTGTATCCACAACTCCATGCTGTTTTTTTATAAAGAGGCTACAAAGAAAAAGAAAAGGCAATTCCTGTCCACAGTGAGCTTACTTCCTAACTAGGGGACAAAATGTACATAAAGAGATATATATGTGATGAATATAGAGTAGCAAAAAGTAACCTTAGTGGAGAAGGCACTGAGATTATTCCCTAGTTTGACCCAGCTGAAGGAGCAAATGAAAAATCATTTTTTAAACATTAAGTGCCAGGCATTGTGCTATACGCTGGGATTATGAATACAAAAGTGAAATAATTTCTGTCCTTATAGAGGAGACAACAGATATTGGGAGTGATGGCCTGGGAGGGGAATTTTAGTTTAGAAAGTGGGGTAGTGATTAGAGCGCTAGGGGTTCAGATTGACTTACTCTTTCTAGTGGTAATAACTGCAATATTGATTTGATCTTAGAGGGAGAAGGGAAAGGGCAACTTGCTTGCAAACAGTAAGATGGCAGAAGTGAAAAACTGTGTAGACTATCAGATAGAAACATCTCTTAAGCAGAATCCCAGTAGCCTAAGTGTTAATTTCCTTATTTCATGCTTTATTCTAAGTACTTGTCTCTGTGCTGATTAACATTTTTATCAGTATTTGCAGATGGCACAGAGCTGAGAGGAATAGCTAACTAACATAGATGTTGGGACCCAAAAAGACCTTGACAGGCTGTAACATGGGGTTGAATCTGGGTGGCTGAAGTTTAATAGGCATGAAATGTAAAGTTCTATGCTTTCAAAAGTTCAGTCTTATAACAAGTGAAAGAGGCTTGATTTCATAGCAGTAGTATTACCAGTATTAGCAGATAGCTAGATGGCATGTCTAGAGAGCCATAGCAATAGCAGATAGCTGTAGGGAAAAAAAACCCAGTAGAATGTAAATTGTTTTTTGTTTCTCTGCCGTGATGCTCCAGCTTCTGTCTCCATGCCTTTGCATTGGCTGTCCCCATGCCTGGATTGTTCTCGCACTAAACCTCTGCCCCATAGAATTCCTGACTGACTTTAAGGATATGCTCAAGCCACATCTCTTGCAGGAGGCTTTTTAAATCCAAGTCAAGAAGCATTCATTAAACATTTACTATGGGCCAAGCACTGTACCAAGTGCTGAGAATGAAAATATAAGCAGAAGGAAGGACAATCCCTGGCCCCAAGAAGCTTAACATTTTAATAGGGGAATGCTAAATATATAAAAGAAAGCTGAAAGGGGAGCCCATTGTGTGTCTGTGGAGGGGGAATGACAGGGAAAATCCAGGGAGTCAGGAGAGCAGCCTGCAGAGAAATGAAGATGTGGGAGGGGAGAGGGGGGAAGAGGAAGAAGGGGCAGCCTCCCTAAAATCAGGATTGTAGGAGGAGTTGGGCAATTAGAAAGGCTACAGGAGGGGAGAGTACTTCCACTCTGAGAAGTGCAGGGGTAGAATGAGCTTCCAGGGTGAAGAGGCTTCCATGGCATGGAGAAGAAAATCTGAAGAGTCAAGAATATCTCCTGGTGCCCCAAGCTACTAGTACCTTCCCCTTGAAGGCTAACTTCTCTGTACTTTTTATCTAGAATGCACTAATTGATAAAGATGTTGGAAGCTCCTTTAGGGCAGAGATAGTTCTTGTTTTTTCTTTGTATCTCCAGAGATTAACACAAGGACTAGCGCATAGTAAATATTTAACAAATGTTTACTGATTGATTGAGGGTAGGGACTATTTAATTTTGTATTTTTGTATCCCCAGCACTTAGTGCAGTGATTTGTAGGTAATAGGTGCTTAATAAGTGTTTCTTGGGTTGAATTGGAGATTTTAATGAACTGCAAATTCAGTATGAGCCAGTAATGTAGTATGGCAAAACAAACAAACAAACAAACAAACCTAATACAATCTTAGGCTCCATTAAGTAAGATACATACACAGTGTCCAGAGTGATGGAAATGATAGTCACACTGTAGGCTGACTACAACTTAAGTACTAGTTTAGTTCTGGGGACCATTTTTATTAAGAATATTGATAAGTTGGAGAATGTCTAGGGGAAATTGACCAGGATAAGGAAGGCTATTGAGATTATGCCATATAAGGAATGTTTAGATAGATAAAATATTTATTAATTGCTTACTGTGTGCCAGGCATTTTACTAAGTGCTGGAAGTACAAATACGCAAAAAAAGAAAAAGTCCCTGCCCTCAAGATGCTTGCATTCTAATGTGGGGAAACTATACATAAAAAGGAGCTGAAATGCAGGGGGTGGGGCATGTTCTAGGAGAGACTATGTATGAAGGAGGACAGATTTGAGAGAGATGTGAAAGCTGTCTTCAGTTATTTAAGTTATTTATTACTTTTTCTTCTTGGCCTCCAAGGGCAGCTAGGGGTCCAAGTGGATAGAGTGCCAGGCCTAGAGTCAGGAAGACTCATCTTCTTGAATCCAGATCTGGCCTCAGACACTTACAAGCAGTGTGACCCTGGGCAAGTCACTTCACTCTCTTTGCCTCAGTTTCCTCATCTGTAAAATGAGCTGGAGAAGGAAATGGCAAACCACTCCAGTATCTTTGCCAAGAATATCCTGCCAAGGTGTCACACAGATACAACTAAACAACAATAACTTGCCCTCAGAAGGCAGAGGTAGGGGCAGTGAGTAGGAATTGAGGGGAAATATCCTAATTACCTTGGGAGGCGGTGGGGTCACACCCCTCTCTAGTGAGACCTGTGAGCAGTAGCTGGATTACTTATTCTAGTTATGACTAAGGGGATTCCCAGTCCTGGATTAGGTTGGACCTAGTCTCTGAGCTACCTTCCTTCCTTCTGTGATTACATGATTGGCCATGAACTTTCTAGCATAAAATCCTTTTACAGGATGTAGAGAGCAGTAACAAAGCAGATGAGTTGAGGAAAAAATTGTCAGACTGTATGTTTCAACTTTTATTTTGAAAGATTGACATGTAAGTGCTAGTGCCCCCATAATAATTGGGACTGTTGGCCCCTTAGTGTGGTGTGTGTGTGTGTGTGTGTGTGTGTGTATTATATTTCTATCAGAGTATTTATTCATAAATATCATTAGCCCTTTAAGATCTAAAATAGCCTTTTAGATCGAACTTTGCTAAGATAGGGCTGTAAAGTGTGGTGGAAAGCCCCTGGGCACAGAGTCAGAAGACTTGAGTTTGAGTGTCGACTCCACTGCTGAATTCCTGTATGAGGCTGGGTGAATTTTTGGCCTCTCTCACTGTGTACTCATCTGTAATCTAAAGGGGTTACACTGAATTATTTTTAAGGTCCTCTCCAGGACCTGAATTCTCTGGTTCACAAAACTGTGTTCTGTCTAGGCGAGCACCTACTATATTCTGGGCACTTATTCATGATGATTTTAGCTCTAGATCAGGGATGGGGAACATGCAGCCTTCAGGCCAGATGTGGCCCTCTGGGTCCTCAAGTGTGGCCCTTTGATTGAATCTAGACTTCACAGAACAAATTCCCTAGACAAAGCAAGAAGGAACTTGAAGCTATTTGGTCCATCCCACCTTCCCATTTTACAAATAAGGAAATTGAGTCTCAAGGAGGTATGGAATAGCAATAGTTTTAGAAACTGCTGTTATCAATGTTTCTTTGTTGAAAACTTTTTTCCTTTTCATTTTACCTAGCTATCACAGGTGCCTTCAACCTATTTTGAGGATTTCTGAGAATGAAATAACCAAGAAGCAATCTAGATGATGGAGATGATGTTGGTAGGTAGAAAGAAACATCTTGTGGCAGCAGAGATAGAATGTGTATACTCTTTTTTTTGTGATCTGAATCTAGAAATGGTTTTTTTTTTCAGGTTCTATTACGCAGTGTTTTTTGTTTTATTAATTTTTTATCAGTTTTGAGAGGGGCAGTTAGGTGGCACAGTGGATAGAGTGCTGAGCCTAGAGTCAGGAAGACTCATCTTCCTGAGTTCAGATCTGGCCTCAGAAACTTACTGGCTGTGTGACCCTGGGCAAGTCACTTAACCCTATTTGTCTCATTTCCTCATCTGTAAAATGACTTGAAGAAGGAAATGGCAAACCACTCCAGTATCTCTGCCAAGAAAATCCCAGATAGGGTCACAGAGAGTTAGACATGTCTGAAAAACAACAAAAACAAAATTAGTTTTGGGATTCATGCTGTACTGAAGTTGATCAGGAGTTGCATACAAATCAATATATAGTTTTCTCAAGTATCTGTCAGAAAATACCAAGAACATAAGAATTTGGATTACTGAGAACCTTTCCTGACTGCTAGGACATAAAATAATAGTTCTTCTCATGACTTTCTGTCACACAGCATCATAGGATGATAGATTTAGAACTGGAAGGGATCTTAGAGAACATCAAATCCAACCCTATCATTTTACAGATGAGAAACTGAGGCCAAGAGAAGGTAAGTGGCTTGCCCAGAGTCACGCAACCAGTAAGTGTCTAAGGTAGGATTTGAACCCAGGTCTTCCTGATTCTGGGAAAGAAAAATGAACCCACAAAAAATTTTCCCCTACAGATCAGAAAAAACTATCCTTGCACTTGTATTTCCAGATATAACATGGGAACGTGAAAACGTCGCCAATGTGTAACCTACACTAATCTTGGCTGCCCTTAATATTTGATTGCAAAATTTTACTGTAATTTAATGAGCCGTTAGCCAACATCACAAATCAGGTATCTTTTGCTACAGGTAAATTAGATTTCCTTAACAAATAGCTAAAGACAGAGATAATAAAATATTTCCAGACACTTGTACTGTGGAATTTAGAGCTGGTAGGGGAGAGGTAGCTTTTAGGTCTTCTAGTGTAACACCCTCTTTTCCAGACAAGAAAACAGCCTAAGAGAGGTTGTTACTTACCTAAGGTCACATAGGTAATATAAAAATGTATCATTATTTTATAATTATTACATAATTATGTAAAGATATAAATGTAAACATAATTTCTTTGTTTTGTAACAGGAGAGTTCTGCTTCCTGGGAAAGGAAATGAAGATAAAATTGAAATTCTAAACTATAAATTAGATGGATTTATGTTATTTTCTGTGAACTAAAGTGATTCAATGTCTCTTCTGGTAAGCTTTCATTTATTTTGGATTTTATTTTGTGCCTTTCATAGTTGCTAAACAATCATTGACATATCAAATAGAGGTACTGAACTCCCTTTTGATAAATACATTTAGAGTAAATAAGACTCATTTAAAATTATGACATTAATTTTGGAATATAAATAGCTACTATCAAAATATTTGAAAACCATGTCCTTAAACATATTAAGGCTATGATACCAATGCCACCATTAAATACACGTGGTTTTCTTTGTGCTGGTTGGTTGTTAATCAAACTCTTTCTTCCATCTTCAGCTTGCCATAAGTTGAAAATCTCATATTAAGAATCGGTGACCATTTAAATTAGTAAGGGCTTCTTATGAGGTGTGCCATGCAGCAAGGGAGAAGTAAATTGGGTCTTGGATGAAGCAAACAGGATAGTGAGCAGATCCCTTTGTAAAAAACCAACCAACCACCAAAGAGCACCTCTCCGTAGTTCCAGGAAAGTCTTAAGTAATGAATGAGAATTTATGAATCTCAGAGAGAAAAAAGCATAAATTGTAGGAGAATGTAAATTAGAGGCTTTCTACTAAAATAATTTAAAATGTGCTTCAAGTTAGAATATACCGATGAATGTTTGTACCTGGCTGAGAGGCAGTGAGGTGATGCAAGAGATAGAGTGCTGGACCTGGAGTTAGGAAGATTTGAATCCAAATGTCACCTGAGGTGCTTACTAGCTGTGTGATGCTGGGCAGGTAATTTAATCTCTACCTATCTCAGTTTACTCATCTGTAAAGTGGGGATGATAATAACACCACCTGCCTCCCAGGTTGTTGTAAGGATAAACCTTAAACTGCTATATAAATATTGTGATTGTAATCTTTAGAAGCAAAAATGATTAAAGAGGAAAATGAGATTATATAGATAAGTGTAAGATAGTAAACTCAAAGAAAAAATACAAACTACCTAAGAATAATAAACAGAAAAATATCTAGCTATCCAACTCAAATAGAGCCATTCCGAATGGAGTAGAGTAGATGGTGATGATGAAAGAGATATAAAATAGAACACAGGACCATGTAGTCCAGAGAAGAGAAGGCTCAGGGGCCTAGTCAGAATAATGGCAGTGTCTTTTGCTTACCTAGTTCTACTTTGTACCTTCATTTTGAGGCTTATATTTAATTTCCCAGTGTCTTAAGGCCTGACTTCTATTGCAAGGTGCCCTCATGCTTTTTATTTTTCATCTAGTCAGCAAGTTTGTTGCAATCATAGTATCCCTCTACTGCCCCACCCCATCATTTATTAACGTAATTCTGTTTTTTTGAGGATTGTTTCTGTACCTCACGGACACAAGTTGAATCAATAAGACCTGAAAAACAGTCTGAAACCAGCATCCACCAGTACTTGGTAAGAATAATTATTTGTACTATATTGTTATTAGAATGAATTATTCATATGTTTGGATCTAAAGGTATTCCTATACTTTCTTTCCTTAATCTTTAATCTACAAATTTATCTATGTAATGAAAAATGTCACACAAGTATCTTCTTTAGTATCAGAATGAATTAGATTATATAGGTCTTTTCTTCTGTCTGTGGCTTGCTCATTTTTTGTTTTTTCCATTGTTTGTGAGATAATATAATAAAGTTTTATTAGTATGTGTTCTACTTTATATACAATGTAACTTATTGTAACATTGGATCTCTCCTTTTCCATTTTTATTATAGCCTTTAGATTTATACAACATCTTACATAGCAAATTCCTTCTGCTCTGCCCAGTAGAAACTCTTATTAAATGTGAAGTGTGGTCACAGCTTCTTTCTCAGTTCTACCTAGAACTATGTTATATTTCAAAAAGTTGAATTTTCTGTTTCCATCTGCAGAGCCAAACTAAGAAAGATATAAGCACCATACCTTCTTTACTTTTACACTTATAACATCATTAGACTCTCTTACAGGAAGCAGCATATAGTGCTTAGAATAGCTCTGACACTCTCTGATCATGTTTGATGAAATGTTATCTTATGTTCTTTATAAGAACAACATTTAGCAGTGTTTTACTTCTATTGCAGATCTATAACTTGAACCTTAAAAATGGCACTGTATGTTTTTGAAGCATATGACCTATTTTCAAGGAGTGGGTTGGGAAGGAGGTGAGATTTAAATATAAATTGTTTTTTGTTACCTGATGACAGCTCTGTATTGTCCTTTCCATATGGCTCACTTGTGTCAGCTTCGTTGTGTGATCCCAGAGAGATTCAATTAGCTATGAATCCTCCTGATAGTATTTTTGTTCAGCCCAGGCTTCTTTTCTAAAAGGATATAATGAAAGTTTTCAAGTGCCTTTCTAAAATCAAGATAATGGGCACAGCCCATCAATCAAAGTCATTATTTTGTCTATGACCAAAATTTATATTCTAAGAGCTTTACACTTGATCTTTAGAGGAACCTGAGATTATAAGACAATATAAGAGGATTGGACTGTGTGGGAAGACTTTGATATCCCTAATGGAATAGAATTCTAAAGACCTGATTCACTGAATGATCTAGGGAGACTCTTTTCCTCAACCCCCAAGGACATCAAAAGGAGCAGAATTTTAGCAGTAGAGGGGATTCCACAATGTAGAATATTTATATGTATCAGACATCTTGAGCCTTAGGGTGCTGAAGGGTACTTTTATCTATCAGAAACTTGGTGACTTAAGGTATCAAAGGTATTAATCAAGTGCTTGCTCCACGTGTTAGTAGCTTGTGGGTATGCCTCTCCACTGCCAATTTGAGATGAAGCTAAGGAGCTGGCAGTAAGTCTGTGTTACTCTAGCCCCTAGGGACCCAGTCTCCAGCCTCAGAATCATAAAAGATCTGGAGAGACTCAGAGAGACAGAGGCAGTAGAGAGCCCGAGCCTAAAGGGATTCATATCCATTCTAGAGATCCCTCAAAGTTCCTGGATCGCAGGACAACCAATGTATTAGAGGCTTCCAAGGATACCAGATTAGCTGGGGATGGGGCGGGGGCGGTGATGAGGTGGGAGTGGAGAGGAAGGATTGCTTATCCCACCAGAGGGTATATACTTATACTCCCTACTTCACAAGATAATAGATTTCTAGCTGGAAGGGTCCTCAGAGTCCATCTGTCCAATTCCTTCATTTTTCAGATGAGGAACTGAGACCCAGAGAGGTTAAATGACTTGCACCAGGTCGTGCAAGAATCAAGTGGTAGAATCAGGATTCAAATCAAGGTTCTCTTACTTTAAATCTTATGTTCTTTCCACAATACACAATAATTATGAGGAATGCCCTTTACCAGCCTTGAGTAACAGGAGAGGTAGCTTGATATAGTAGATAGAAGACTGGTCTCGTAGCCAGGAAAACCTGGATTCAAGCCTTCCTTGTAAACATACTGGCTTTGTTACCCTTGGCAAGTCATTTAATATCTCAATGTACCTGTGGAACTCTTTAAGATTAGAAGTTGCATAACTACATTCGTGGAAGGTATTTCCTTACCAAGAGTTCTATACACCAATGAAATCGCAGGTCCAGAAGAAGATGGGGGTGGGCAGGGATGGGACAGAGAACATTTGGAGGGGTTGACCATGGCACGAAGAAGGGCTGCTTCATCAGAGCCTGCAGTGAAGGAGGAGATGGTGGAAGGATGATGGCAAAGAGATAATGAAATATGAAGGGGAAAAGAAGGAACTCTCAGTGGATGACCTAAATGTTTTTAGTGATGTGTGAGGTGAGTTCCTCAGGTGAAAAGATGGTGGAGGGTTGCCATGGGAGGCTTGAGGAGAGACAAGAAGGTTTAGAACAGTCACTGTGATGAGTGGGATAGAAAATCAATTAAAAAGGAGTAAAAAGATCGCCTTCAGCTGCCCCTATAACAGAATTTTTTTTAAAATGGGGGAAAAATACACTTCAGCAAAATTAATCAGCATCCAAAATATCTGGCATTATTTGTAATATTCCGTACCCATAACTGCCCACGCCTGCAAGAATGTGAGGAAGTGCTTTCTCATGTTTCTTTTTTTGGGGGCCAGCATGGTCATTGTAATTTTGCAGCATTCCGGATTTTTTGCTGGTGTTTTTTGCGTTTGCATTAATTTAGCTGTTGTGTATATTGCTTTCCTGGCTATGCTTATTTCACTGTGCATCAGTTAACATGAATGAATTCATCCTTGTGTTCATGTCCTGTACTTGTTTAGCCGTTTCCAAGAAGTAGAATGGAAGGCACCAGTGAGATGTGAAATACAGTGGCCTCCAAAGAGTTAGAAATAAGTGTCACCTGTTTCAGGAGGGTACCCTGGGCAGCCACCTCATTTCCCACCGTGCTGCAGGATTCTTTCTGCCCCCAGGTAGTCTCTCCACTGCCACTCCCCCCTCAGCTACTTTTTATGAATTGTCTTTCCCCACTAGATTGTGAACTCCATGAGAGCAGGGACTGTCTTTTACCTTTCTTTGTGTCCCCAATGTTTAGCACAATTCATAGCACAGAATAGGCACTTAATAAATGTTTACTGTCTGATTTGTTATCAGTGCTTACATTCTGATGGAGGAGAAAAATAAAAATATGTACAGCACAAATATAAAATTAACAAATATGTACAAAGTAGTTAAATACAAGCAAGTTTAAGAGGGAGAGCACTAGCAATGGAGGGCTCAGGAAATGTTTTGTGCAGAAGATGGTGCCTGACCTTTATCTTAAAGGAAGAGAGGGATTTGGTGAGTTAGAGGAGGGAGTGCATTCCAAGTTTGTGGAGTGATGAGTACTAAGGAACAGAGAAGAGAACCTCTTCTTTTATCAGTAAGGATCAGAGAAAAATTCAGTTTGGCTGGATCATAAAGTATAGGAGGGAGAGCTATGTTTCTTGAGCCTAGAAGGAGGTATTGGAGCTAGGTTTAATAGGACTTGAAGGGCTAAACAAAGGAGATCATATTTTATCCTTCAGATACAAGAAAGAAATTGGACTTGGTTGAATAGGGGAATCACATGCTCAGATTTTTATGTAAGGAAAATTACTTACAGAGCAGTGTGTAGATTGGATTGGAGTGGCGAGAGACTTGAAAGGAGGGAGATCAATTAGGAAGCTGTCGCAATAATCTAGTTGAGGTGTGATAAGGGCCTAAAGCCGGCCTGCACAACCCGTGACCTACGGGCTGCCAAAAGATTTTGGGCGGGCTTGGAAAAACATAGAGGATGTTTTCCTCTACGTTCTTCACAGGCCACCTGAAATCTTTTGGTGGGCCGGCCTGCAGGCTGCAGGTTGTACAGGCCTGGCCTGAAGTAAGGTGTTATCTGTATGAGCAGTGAGAAGGGTTAGTTGGATATGAGAGCTGCTCTGGATGTGGAAGATTCATCTACCGATTGGATGGATGAGGGAGCATGAAGAGTTCAGGATAATGCCAGGTTATAAACCTAAGAGACCAGAAGGATGAGTTGACAGAAATAGGGAAGTTTGGAAGAGGACAGGGTTTTGGGGAAAAGGTAATGAGTTGTTTTTTATTTTTACTACAGCTATATAAATTAAAACAAAATTTTATTCAAGTTTGTAACTTTCTCGTTAAGCGTTTTGTTTAATTTATCATCATTTCTTTATTGGAGTGTTGAAATTTCCCACTGCTATTGATTTTCTGCAAAATATCCTTTTCAATCCATTTGATTTTTCATTTATAGGTTTAGGTGCTGTGCTTTTAGGTGCATAGGTGTTTAATATTCTCTCATCATCAGTAGTATCCTTAATTATTCTGATTTTCATAATGCTTCCTAATTTGAGTTCAGCTTTGTATAGCAGCAACTTAACACTGGACTTTCTGAAGCCAGCTGAAATATAGTGAATTCTAGTTCATTCTCTTACTTTAAATGTATCTATATATTTCTGCATTAAGTGTGTTTCCTGTAAGCAATGTTAGCTAACATTTCTGTAAGTCTTTAAAGTTTAGGAAGCACTTCACATATATTATTTCATTTGATCTTTACAACAACAACAACAACAACAATAACAATAATAATAATAATGATAGCTAACATTTATATAGCACTTACTGTGTACCAGGCACTGTGCTAAGCTCTTTACAATTATTATCTCTTTTGATTCTCACAACAATCCTGAAAGGTAAATGCTATTATTACCCCCATTGTATAGATAAAAAAACTGAGGTAAATAGAGGTTAAATGACTTGCCCTGGGTCATGCAGCTAGTATGTATCTGAAACCAGATTTGACCTCAGGTCTTACTGACTCCAGGTCCGGTGCTCTATGTACTATGGCACCCCCACCTGCCCTTTGAAGTAGATTTTTTTGTTGTTCTTTTGTTGTGTACATCACATGAAATTATCATAATCTTTTTACAGATAAAGAAACTGAGGCTACTTTTATCATCCTTTGATAATTACAATGAGAAAATAACTATTTAATCAAAAAGAAAATATTTAGTCACTGCTGAAAAGAACCCACTGAATTTAGTACGTAGCTTCATGATACAGCCGTAGCTCTGTCTCTTGATGTTTCTAAGTATCTTAAGCTGTCTTAAGGTTTGCCCTGCCCTCAACAACTGTTTAAAATTATGTGAATTCTTAAATGGCCATGTTTTGTCTTTGGAAATATCACTTAGTAGGAGAAGAGGAGGGAATATATTGGGAAATATAAATGAGGTAAAGGCGAGATTTCACTAAAAATTTACCTTCCCCCAAAGGTGCTATACAAATAAAAGAAATCATTACATAGATTTTCTGGATATGAAATCCTTTGACTCAACTTTCAGTGAGTCATATTCTAGCTTATATCATTTCTCATTTTTAAAGAAGGAAATTGTATAATTCAAATGATTAGTCATTCAAGTTATCTGCTTATAAAAATTATCTTGTCATTTTAGTCTTGGCAATGATATCTCTCTGAATTTGAGACTCATTTCTGTTGGAATAAACTATGACTACTGTCAGTTTACAATTTGTCTCTCATTTTCAATATTTCTAAAAAATTTTCTTGTCCAATTTTCTGAAATATAGTAGTCAAATTAATTTATTCACAGTGATTTTAGGAAAGTCCAATAATTATTAAACTTTCTTTCCTGGCTGTGTTGTCCAGATTTCACATTATTCATAGTCATAGATTCCAGTATTTTTCCCTCGATACAGAATGTTCTGGGCATATATTTCTGCTTAGTACCGTAGGATTATAGATCTAGGTCTGGACCAGATCTCAGTAGCCATCTATTCCAACTTTCTCCTTTTACAGATGAGAATACTGAGGCCCAGGGAGGTTAAGTAACTTCTCCAAGCACACAGGTAATAAACAGCAGAGGGGCTCTCTACCCGCTGTAAAAGTGTGAGAAACAATGGATATTTGATAAGATATTTGCTTTAAAAGCATGACCATTTTCTCTTGAGTGACTGCCTGAATATGTGGGAAAATCAAAATCAGACTACAAGTCTAGTCTGCACCATTCATTCAGAAATCAAAAGATTTCCTTTAACCTGCCTATTTCTTTTCATACATTATTTCCTCTGTGGTTCTACTACTTTGTTCTACTGTGAAATAATTTTGTTCCATTGAGGTTATTGTTTTATGTTTTTCATGAATATTTCTAAGCTGGAATTTAGTCGTCATTCTGTCCTGATATTTTTTATTTGCACTCAGTTCCTTCTGTATGCTGATATTTTTTTGCTAATTTAATTTCTTCCTTTAATTTTTCAGGTTTTTTTTTTACAAGAAAATCCTGTTTGGTTTTTCTTGTGTCTTTGCCCCTTCTTTTAATTCATAATATTTTTTCATTGTACCACATCTATTTTTGTTGCCCATTGTTTGCTTTTAATGTATAGTTTTTTCTCAGTGGGTTTTTTTTTGCATATCCAGTAATGTTTTTGAGTATGAAATTAAGGAATACTGCTTTCTTATTACATCACATTCTGTCTCCCAGAAGTCCAGGCTCATGTATTTGTATATATGCATGTACTTTCATAACACAGTGAGTGCTACTATTTCCCTTCTATTTTCTTTTGAACATTGACATCCATTGTCATGTGGCCATGATGAGTCTTCCCCTACCAAGTCTCAGTAATACCTGCAAGATTCTGTTTAATTTCTTGTGCTAAAATATGAAATTTCTTTGTTGCTATGCATATATGATTATGTATTGGAGGTGATAGATTTGTTCCCAACCCATTTCTTTTCTGTTTTTACCTGAGAATTTTGAGTTTTTCCTGCCTTTCTGCTTCTTTCTGTCCCACCTTTTATCCTCCATTCAGTTTGACATTTAGTGCCCAATTTTTAGGTCTTTTCATTTTAATTGGATTTTTTCCCCCTTCACCTGACTCCTACCACTCTTCCTCCCCATTTTCACCCCCCAAAATATAATATTTAAATCCTCTTGAGCAAGTAAGCAAATCTACTAACACATTTTTTATTCCTTCATGAGATGTACTTACATCCCTTGTTAGGATCCTATCTTTTTTTATTCCAAGTCATCTTCCTAAAAAAACTATGTCCAGGTCTTCAGCACTATCTATGTGGCCGTCTCTTCACTTCCCTAGTCTTTCTACCTACCTCATACGGTTGTTATAAGAAAAATACTTTATAAACTTTAGAGTTCTATGTAGATGTGAATTGGTTTTTACTCTGTTATCTTTTGAAAAAATATTCAGAGCTGAGTAACTACCTTCTCAAAATCTTTCTTTTTTCTTTACTCATCTTTCTTGACCTCTCTGTGGTATTTGAATCCCTGCTTTTATTTGATAACTTTTCCTCCCTTGGATTCCATGACAGTGTACTCTCATAGTTCTTTTTCTACTCCTCTGACTGCTCCTTATCTTCCTCTAACCCCTTAAATATGAGAACCACTAAGGCGCTATCCTTAGCTCTCTTTGTTTTTGCCATACTTGCTCCATTAATGCTCTCTTCTACTCCGATGGCTTCATCAGATGTACTGATGTAATGACTTTGCAAATGACTCCAAAATTTCTGTCTACCCCAACCTGTCCTCAAAGGTCTAAGCCCATGTTTTTTTCACCCCTTTGTTAATGTTTTGAGGTTTTGTTTGTTTGTTTGTAAAAAGTATTTCATTTTTTTCCAATTACATGTAAAGATAGTTTTCAACATTCATTTTTTGTAAGATTTTGAGTTCCAAATTTTTCTTCCTCCCTCCTTCCTTCCCTACAATGGGCAAGCAATCTGATATAGGATACGTTAGGCTCACGTTTTCAATTACCTGTCAGGTATCTCCACCTTGCATTCCACTGATATCTCAAACTTAACTTCTGCAAAATTGAACTCTTATCCTCTCAACCTGTCCATTCCTTTAACTTCTCTTTTTCTGTTTGTAGCATCTCCAATTACTCAGCCTTATAATTGGTCATTTTGACTCTACTCTCTTATTCAATTCCCCTCACCCCCAAAACACACATCCAATTAATTAACAAGTCATGTCATTAAAATGTTTCTTAGTCCATCCCCTCCTCTCCACAACTATAGCTCAGACCTTCATCTTTTTTCACCTAGACTGTTACAATATCCTTTCAGTTAGTCTTTCTTCCTTTGGTCTGTCTTTTTTCCATTTTATCCTGAGCATAACAGCTGTGCAGTTCTTCTTTATGTAATGCCGTCATCATGCTATTCCTTTATTCAGAAGTCTTCAGTGGCTTACGATTTCCAATCAAATATAAACTCCTGGTTCTGGCATCCCAATTCTTCCCTCCCCCCCAGCAATCTGGTTCCGATCTGTCTATTCAGTCTTATCTGATACTATTACTGCCTCTCATGTATTCTACATTCTAACCAAATTGGATTAACTCTCCATTCTGCCCTCTCCCATCTCTGTGTCTTTACTCATGATGTCTCACAAGGAATGGATTCCTTCCCCATTTCAGTCTGCTGAAGCTTCTCCTCTCCTTTGAAGCCTCAGTTAGATGAAAGGTGATCTTGCCTTCCCCAAAACTTCTTATAACACTGCCTGAACATGTCCTTTGTATTGAACTCAAGTTCCCTTCTATCATCATTATTTCTTTTCTCCCTTCACTTAATAGTATTTTATTTTTTCCAGTTATATGTAAAGATAATTTTCAACATTCACTTTTATAAGATTTTGAGTTCCAAATTTTTTTCTCTCTCCTTCCCCTTCCCCCTCCCCAAGATGGCAAGCAATCTGATATAGGCTATACATGTACAATCATACTAAACATGTTTTCACATTAGTCATATAATCATTATTTCTGGAGAGGATTGACACTTGATAAATACTTGTGAATTAAATCCTGATCTTTGGGAAGAAGATCAGAAAATGTCTTTTCCTGAAGTAGTCTGTTTTCTACTCCAAACTTTAAAATCTTCATCATTTTCCTTACAGTTATTCATTCTGATATGAATTCATAGACATGGGTAGAGATGGTGAGTTTGTTTAGTCTTGGCTGATGCATTCTGTACCTACTGTATATAAATTCAAAGGAGACAGCATCTTTTCTGGTTATTCATGTCGTCTTCTCCCCTCAAAAAGGAGCCACCAACCAGCCTTGACCATTGGTCTCTGGCTCCCAGGCGCACCAAGAGGATTCCTTTTATATGCAGATGACTTCAGTGCCTCCCTCCTCAGTGACGCTTTGCATAGAGGTGCTTCTTCAGAATGTGTCTAATCATTCTTCATGGAAAGTGCCTCAAATCTGTTGTATACTTCAAAAAGCACTGAGTTTCTTCTCTTCTTTCTCCACAAGGGCATTACCATGGTCCTGCCTCTTGATTTTCAGTTCCTACTGCTTTCTTAGACTATCATTTTGACTTAATGATTTATTCTTCCTGTCTAAAATCTTTGTCATTTTAATAAGTTATAACACAGAAAGGCCTGCCTCAAGCTCTAAAGAAGGAGTGCAAACATACCATGTAGCTGGCAAGCCTCTACAGCAGTTTCTTTGAAGTCTGCATTATCAGCTGTCAACTGACAAGCCCTGGAACCCTTTTTGTAAATTGAAAAGAACTATTCCTTTCTAATTTGTTAACTTCCAAGCCTTTGTTGGTAGTTACTGATTTGTAGTAAGTTGATACCTCCCCTCCCTTTCATAATACATTTAGAGGGCTTTTACTTTGAAGCCAAGTTCTTTATGCCTTATATAATCAAGTGTGTGTTTAATACATCTCAGTGACATAAATAAGGAACCAAGTCAATTTATCATTTTTTTTAAATCTTTTTTGTTTAGGTAGATGAGCCAACCTTCTCTTGGGTGCCTTCCTCTCCTGGAGGCAATGAAATGCCATTATGCACTTCTAATGTTTCTCATTATGAACTCCAAGTAGAAATAGGTAATAATTCTCAATCTCAGTGAATTTACATATTCAAATGGTATGCAAAATTTATTAAGTGCCTGCTATACATTAGTCATTACACTTGATGCTTAGGGCAACACAAAGTTGAAAATACCACACCTTCAGTCTTCAGAAATCCAGCAGTCTAATGGCGATGTGTTAGTGATTAAATATATATAGTAAAGCATCCAAATAAATATGAGAGGTAAAAAGTGCTATCAGAGTTCAAAAGCAGAGGGCACCATGTAATACTTCATGGAAAATGTAGCAATTTAAGCTGGACCTTAAGCAGTTGATATAATTTGTACTGGTAGAGCTGTGCGGGGGAGGGCATTGCTAGTTGTAAGGAACAGTATGCAGTATTTTCAAAGAACAGAGTATTGTGGCTTGGCTGGAGCAGAGGGTTATATGAAAGGAAATAGTATTAAATAAGTTTGAAAAAGTAGGAGCCATATTTTAAAGGGTTTTAAATGCAACTGTGACATAATAAATAAAGGGCTATCCCCAAAGCCGGGAAGACCTAGCTTGAAGTCCACATTTTGACAGGGTGACAATGATCAAGTGATTTCAACCTCTCAGTGTCCCAGGCAACTCTAATATTATAAATTATAGAGTAGTTGTCATTCTGTAGTGGTAGAGGGGATTCCCTCACTGAGCGTTCCCCATACCAGTGAAAACACAGATTTGAATTAACCTCCTTCCCTCCTCCCAAAAAATGCAAGAAAATGTATTTTGCATTTTTAGGAAAAGTTATCTAAGAAATAACTGTTTTCATGGCAGAAATTGTATTCAGCATATTTTATTTTTGTATCATAACCATTTCGAAATATATCCTCCCTCTTCTCGCTACCCAATGAGCCCTCCTTTTTAATAATGTTTAAAAAAATAATTCAGCAAAATCAACACAATGACCTCATTTGAAAGTGTATATAACATCACATCTGTAGTGTCCCATCTCTACAATGAAGGGAGAAAGAAACCTTTTCTCAACTCTTCTCAGAACCCCAACATTGTTTGATAAATCATTAAGGAATTAATAAAAATTTTGTTTTGAATCATTTGTTGATTGAATTTGACTATAGAATCTGCAGCAAAATTTTTACTTTGTTATCAGGTGAAGTAGACCTCAGCAGTTTTAGATGAGGTCATATGATTAGGGAAAAGAGTTTTAAAGAATATGGACTTTTTGTTGTTGTGTCGTTTCGGTTGTGTCCAACTCTTCATGACCCCATTTGGGGTTTTCTTAGCAAAGATACTGAATCAATTTGCCATTTCTTTCTGCAGCTCATTCTATAGATGAGAAAACACAGGCAAATAGGGTTAAGTGACTTGCCCAGGGTCACACAGCTAATAACTGTCTGAGGCCAGATTTGAACCCAGGAAGATGTCCAATACTCTATCTACTGAGCCACCTAGCTATCCCAAAAATGAACTTTAAAGAATACTTTATAATGTTTTCATTAAATGAATTAAAACATCAGTTATTATATATGATTACAGGAAAAGGATTTGACAATTTAACTTCAATCTACCTCGCGCGGCATACTCCCAGTGGAACATTAGTGATTATAAAAATTACAGACTTGGAAAATTGCTCTGAAGAACATTTGGAAGCTTTGCAGGTAAAATACCAAATTTCAAAGCTGATACACTTATCATAAGGTCTGCCTGAAGAGATGATTGTAAGCAACATTTGTTGGAGGAGGAGGAGGTGTTTTCATTAGTTTTGGGAACTCTCACTGAGGAAAGTCCCAACTATTTTAGCTCTACAACTTATAGCCTAGGTACTGAGTGATTGGTTGACTTGCCCAGGCTCACATAGCCAGTGTGTGTCAGAGGAAGGACTTGAATTCAGGTTTTCCCCAGTTCCTGTACTCACACTAGGTACAAGTACAAATTTATGTATGAGAGAATAACAAAAACAAAAGTGGAGGGTTTCTTTCTAGTTCAGCAAAATTGCATTCTGTATCTGTAAATTTTAATAGCATTCCACTGTGGGAATGGGATAATTGTTTTTATAGTATCTCATTAATAATAAACTTTCCAAATTTTAAATTCTCTGTCTTTTTCGTTGTTACTATTGAATCGCCTAGAATGAAGTGACACTCTCCCACTTTTTCCGGCATCCGAACATTACAACATATTGGACAGTGTTCACAGCTGGCAGCTGGCTTTGGGTCATCTCTCCATTTATGGCTTATGGTAAGGATAGTGAGATGAGAGAACGAGAAATCTCATTACTTACACTCAACTCTTTAATTATGTAACAATGAGAAACATTTTGTATTTGTGATTTTTGTTACTGTTCAGACATTTTTCTGTTGTGTCAGACTCTTTGTGACCTCATTTGGGGTTTTCTTGGCAGAGATACTGGAGTGGTTTGCTATTTCCTTCTTCAGCTCGTTTTACAGATGAGGAAACTAAGGCAAACAGGGTTAAGCCACAGAGTTACACAGCTAGTAAGTGTCTGAGACCAGATTTGAACTCAGGAAAATGAGTCTTCCTAACTTAAGGCCCAGCTCTCTACCACTGCACCACCTCGCTGCCCCATTTGTTAACTTAGCATGTACTATTTTGTAGTCATAATTTTTTTTTGTAGTCATAATGTTTCTGCATATATAATAGGCTATTGGGTTTTGTCCATTGAACAAGAATACTGGTGTGGTCATCAGTGAAAATTAGGTTGAAACCTAGTTAGAAACTACAGAGGTTTTTCTTTAAGGGGGGAAGCGCTACAATTATATATTAGCTCTGGACAAAAGAATTGTAGCCCTTTTCCAAGAATGCTGATCATTTTCCTGCTCATCTATCAGGGTAGCTGTGTATCAGTAACAAAAGAAAATTCTATTTAGAGAGTTTTAAAGGCAATTTTTATTTGACTACGCACATCTGAGCCTTGAAGAATAGCAAAACTTTTTATGGCTGATATATATGCTTATCTTTCAAATGTTTACCTAAATAAAGATTTGGGGGGCTTCTTTCAGGTTCTGCAAGTCAACTCTTGAGGACTCACTTTCCTGAAGGCATGAGTGAAACTTTAATAGGAAACATTCTCTTCGGAGCAGTGAGAGGGTTAAACTATCTGCACCAAAATGGCTGTATTCACAGGTATTTTTACTCATTTGTATTTTACAGAAAACTTAGGAGATAAACCAGTAGTAAAGCCTTTTGGATGGAGAAAATGAGAATAGAAAGGAGGGGCAGGAGACAAGGTAAATGGGAAAAGGGGGAGGAAGGGATCCAAAGATGCAGTGGATGATCGATATATTGCTATATAGATGACTATTATATACTAAAGCTTATGGATATACTGCTACTAGGGCTCTCCCTCAAGGAGATAAAGTAAAGAGAAAAAGGATTTATGTAATAAAAAATATTTGTAGCAGCTGTTTTTTAATGGCAAAGAATTGGAAACAGAAGGTTGCTCATTGTTTGGGGAATGGCTGAAAAAGTGTTGGTATATGAATGTGATGGAATTCTGTTGTTCTGTAAGAAATGATGAAGGAGATGGTTTCAGAAAAACCTGGGAAGGCCTGTATGAACTGATGCAAAATGAAATGAGCAAAGCCAGAAGAACAATTTACATAATAATAACAATATTGTAAAGATAATCAACTTTGAAAAACTTAATAATTCTGGTCAACACAATGACTCACAACACTTCCAAAGAACACATGATGAAATATGCTATTATTTACTTCCAGATAGAGAACTGAGGAACTCAGAGACAGCCATTTATTTTCTTGCTTTTATTTTGGGGGTGGAGGAGCAGAGTAGGGGAAGATGTGGCCAATGCAGAAAATTGTTTTGCGTGACTATATGTAGTTGTAATAGGTTTTGTTTTTCTAGCTTTCTCATTCGGTGGGGAGGACAGAGGAGGAAAGAGAGAAATTGGAACCGAAAAAAATAAAGAATAGTGTCTGTGCTTTTCTTTAAAAAAAAAAAAAGCAATAACAACAAAAACCCTCTATGCCTTAACCAAAATATCCAGAAAAGAGTGTGCTTCAGTGAATTGAATTTTCTGTTTAATAGTGTTTCTCAACTGTTTATGATAATCATTGCTTCCCTTTCTCAGTAGAGATCTGTTCAAGAGGGCTTTAAATTACAGTGGAAAGTGAGAGGGAAAAAAATCTGTCCAAATCCTTCTGCTAAGCCAGCTACAGACATCAACATATGTGATAATAGAAAAATGCCAGTAAGGCCTGAGATGTCTATACAGAAACTAGAAACCTTAATACTGAATGTAAATTTGACATCATAGGTATCAATGAGACTCGGTGGCATGTGACTCAGGAATGGAATATTGCAACAGGAAGGTTATCCTTGAATTTAAAGGAACAGAATAGATATGAAGCATAATGGTTTAATTCACTTAGATTCTGAAGATCCAGATTCTGGTTCTACTTAATCATGCCTATATAACTTTGGTATCATGAAATATAGATATCATGTAATTCAACTCAACAGACTTTTATTAAATGTCTACTATATGTAAAGTCACTGTGCTAGACACTAGGGATATAGAGACAAAAAAGAATTTATGGTCTACCAGATGTCACTGGGTCTGATTTCTGTAAAATAAAGCAGTTGGATCAATGTAAAATTCTGTAATTCTACTAGATTATGTAAGAAATAACATTATATATGAAAACAATGCAGTACTTTGAGGAAATCTACAAACTAGAATGGACAAACATGATGGAGAATTTGAAAGAGATTTATGGGAAAAGAAACAAAGAATTGTAATGTATTCTATGTTCTGCTTGGCTAAAAGGAGGAAATGGGTGATACGTTCTGGAAGTGGATCACAAAGCTCTCATGGGAGCAGCTAGAAGGTGCAGTGGATAGAGCACCAGCCGTGTAGTCAGGAGGACCTGGGTTCAAATCCAGGCTCAGACACATGATACTCACTAGCTGTGTGACCCTGGGCAAGTCACTTAACTCCAATTGCCTTGCAAAAAAAAAAAAGAACAAAGTTCTCATGAAGATGATTTATATAGTAATATTATGGGGGACTTGAATTGTTCAGATACCTGCTGGAATGCTCTTCTAAAGGCAGAACAGCTGAAAAATTCTTTTTGAGGGGAATTGATCATTTTTTCTTCAAAAGACAGCAAGAGCAGTAAAGGGAACTGCTGGTCTGAAATGAACCCTAGATTTTGAAAACAGATTTGAGGGAGTTGAGTAAAAGAATAGAAAGACTCCATTAGCCTAAATTCTGTACAGGAAGGCTTAAGATGGGTGACCTATTTTCAAGAACAATATTCTGATGAAACATAAGTGATTCTGAAGCCCAAGGAAAGGAGAAACTATCAATGTAGTTTTACATCAACCAACTTAGATTTTTAAAAAGACGTGGACAGAATATAAAAGCCCAAGTGTAACTGAGGACTGCCATAAAAGAATAACAGTCTAAGACCACACCAAGAGGATAAAATCCAGTGCCAATAGGAATCTGATAGTGAATGCTAGGAGCCATGAAAAGGAGGAAGATCAATTCTTAGATCAATCAAATCCTCAGGTGAATGAGATAACGATAACAAATAAGAGGAGGAAGACAGAACTACTCAGTTCCTATTTTGCTTCTGTTTTTTCTGCCATTGAGAACGTCCTTCAGACTGGGGAATTTTTTTTTAAACTGATAAAAGAGAATTTAAATCCAGGTAGAGTGAGAAGGAGGAGAAAGTACCTTGCTGCTTCAGATGAATTCAAATCAACATCCCTAGACAAATTACATCTCAGGGTTACTGGGAATAGTAAGCAACCCACCCACCCCTTCCCATCTTCAGTCAGTAAACTCCAATGTCTCTCTGTTATCTCCAGGATAAAATATGTGTTCAAAGCCTTTTATAACATGCCTCTGTTCCCTTCCTCTCCCCCCCACCCACCCCACCCATGCACATCTTTTCAGCCTCTTTATACCTTACCCCTTTCCATGTACTGTGTAAGCCAGTGACACTGGTTATTCCTTGAACAACACACTCCATCTCCTGACTTCAGGCCTTTTCACTGGCCATCTCTGCCATGCCTGAAACACTCTGACATATACTCTAGATTTTGGTAGAGTAAATTTCAAAGATTTTCAAAGGAAGGTTGAGGAGGGATCACATGGACTATAATTCTTTCAGAGAAGTCAGCCCAGAAAAGATAGGAAGCTCCCAAAAATCAAATTCTGAAGACACAAAAAAGAAATAATTTCCATGAGGAAGAGGGCAACGTGGGTGTCTGTGGAACTCACCAACCCATAGACTTTTTAAAAAGTGTGCAGAAGATGGAAGGAAGGAGAGAATAATAAAAGGAAATACTTGTCAAATGGAGAGGAATGTCAGAAGTACCACAGCAGAGAATACCAACACGAGTGAAGCTGGAAACAGAAAGGGGCATGTTTTCATTTGGCTTGTATTTTCTCTACCAAGAAAAGGATGGCAAATATGGCTAATAGGGAATTGTTACCCAGGATAAATTAAAGATAAAGGAAGAGAGGTCATACTCAATAACAGATATAAAGTGACTGTAGCTTTCTCTCTTCTCTGGCTTTTAATGATACTGTTCCTACCTGTCTGATTATTCCTTCTCAGTCTCCTTCAATGGATTGGAATCCATTTCACGTCCCCTCCCTGTGAAAGTACCCCATGGTCCTGTACTGGGCCCTTTTCTATTCTCTGTAGACACTGACTTGGTGACTTCCTCAGTTCGCATGGGCTTATTACATGTATGCTGATGACTCACAGATACACACACACACACTCACTCACATCATATATATATATATCCAACCCTTGTCTTTCTCCTGAGCTACACTTGCACATCTCCAACTGCCTGTATTTCCAACTGTATGTCTTTGAAACATGTCTGAAATTGAACTTACTTACTTTCACTTCCCTAAAATACCTCCCTTCTAATCATCCTTATTTCTTTCAAAGTAATCACCATCCTTAAAGTCACCCAGGTTCACAGTCTTGAGTCTGTCCTGCATGTCTCGCTCTCCCTCACACCACACATTCAGGCACTTGCCAAATCTTGTCCTTTCTGCCTCCACTATATCTTTTCTATCCCTTCTCTTCTCTCCACTTACACAACCACAACTCTAGTTCAGACTTTCATCACTTCTTGCCTGGAATATTGCAATCACCTTTTAATTGGCCTCCTTGCCTCTCATTTCTAATTCATCCTCCACACCGCTGCCAAAGTGATTACCCTAAAGCTGCTACTGTTGTTGTTCCTCTTCCTCCCCCTGCTGCTCCTGCTCCCCTCCCCTTCTTCCTCCTGCTTCTCTCCCCCTCTCCTTCCCCTCTTCCTCTTCTTTTCTTGAAGAAGACCAGGTCTGATCATGTCCCTCCTCTACTGCTCAGTAAACTATGTGACTCTCAATTGCTTCTAAGATCAAATATAAGCTTCTCTGTTAGCTTTTAAAGCTCTTCACAACCTGGCCTCCCCCTACCTTCCCAGCCTTTTTACAGTTTATTCTTCTTACTTCGCTTTATGGTCCAGCCATATTGGCCTTCTTTCTATCCCTGACGTAGCACTCCATCTTTTGTCTCCAGACCTTTGCACTGATTGTCTCCCATGCCTGGAATGCTATTCTTCCTCACCTCTGCCTGTTATAATCCCTTGTTTGATTCAAAACGCTGCTCAAATGATGCTTTCTTACATGAAGCTTTTCTTGACCTCTCAGCTGCTGTACACCTCCCCCCCCAAAATTTACTTTGTATTTATTTTATATATACTTACTTACAAATGTATTGTCTACAGATATAATGTCAGCTCCTTGAGTTCAACAACAGCAGAGAGATATACTTGATCAAGAGTCATTGCTGTAATCATTAGGTTATGTGTCTCTCCTGTGGCTCCAAGAAGTCATAGTACGTGCAGTGGCCACACCCCAGTAAAACTATCTGGCTAAACCAGATTGAGGGTAACTGACAGGCTTCAGACCCACTGGTGAGTTAAGGGGGTGTCTTCCCCAAGCATGTGAAGATTTCCCCCAGTAGAATGGATGGATGAGAACAGTTTATTGCCATGGCCATGAAGGTGGCTGAAGTAGGTGTTGTGGAGCAGTTAGAGCTTGATCAGACAGCCAAGATGCTAAGATCATCCACTGCATCCTGGGCCATTGCCAGGGGTCCTGATTTTTGTGTTGCCACTGCCCTTTGATGACTCAGGAATAGAGAATGAGGCTGATGATTTTGTGCAACTCTGCCTCACTTAAATCCAATTTATATACAAGTTAAGATGTCACCCTGTGATATCACTGATCTGCTTTGAATATGAAGGACAAAAAAACAACAAGCTCCTTGAGGGTAGGAATTGTTTCATTTTTGTTTTTCTATCCCTAGTACCTTGGACAGTGCCAGATACTTAATAAACTGTTTTTTGATTTGTTAAATTAAATTAAAGTTTAAATTTTATTTGTTAAGCAAAGATTTTATACAAGAGAATCTTCTTTTATTTAGAAAGTAAATTATGAGGGGCTTTAAGTATATGAAAAAATTGTAGTATTTTATTTTGAAACTTAATTGCCACTAGTAACATTTTTTCATTTTTTCCATAAATTATTTTCGCTGGCATTTTGAATAACAAAAGCAGTCATTTTACTTCATTTTTTGGTTTTATAAAACTCTGTCAGTTTCAAACTTCTTGCCTTTAATGTATGTAACCTTGTTATTATGTAATAAAGTAGATGGAAGGATTTAGAAATAATTTGTCATTTATGTGTGTTGGTGTATTTGTAGCATCATACTGCCATACCCTATAGACTTTAATTTCTAAGCACATGTAAATAAATTTTACTGACTAATACAGTTTCTTGGAAAATTAAGTATTTAACACTATCAGTTTTGATTGGAGCATTTATCCACATAATCAACATGGATAAATTAACAGAAATATAATCTGGTATCCAAACTTGAATAAAAGGTGCCTTTTGAGTTACAGTAAAGCTGTACTACAATAACTGATTTTTATTCCCTATGGTAATTTATTCATACTTATTATTGGCACATTTTTGTTTTAGGAGTATTAAAGCCAGTCACATCTTGATTTCTGGAGATGGCCTTGTATGTCTGTCTGGCCTGTCCCGTCTCTACAGTTTGGTTAACCATGGGCAAAGGTCTAAAGCTGTGTATGATTTTCCCCAATTCAGTACATCAGTTCATCCTTGGCTGAGTCCAGAACTACTAAGACAGGTCAGAAATAACTACTTCAAATTTATTATCCACATTTCTTTTAACATCTTAGTTTGTACAGAGGAAAATTGTACCCTTGTAAACTAGATCAGTTGCCATTTTTCCTTTTTAAAAAATAATGTATCATAATATATTTAAAATTTGTCGTTCAGTTGTTTTTTAGTCATGTCCAACTCATCATGATCTCATTTGGGATACTGGAGTGGTTTGTCATTTCCTTCTCCAGCTCATTTTACAGATGAGGAACTGAGACAAACTGGGTTAAATGACTTACCCAGAGTCAGACAGCTAGTGAATGTCCAAGGCCAGATTTGAACCTGGGAGTTGCTGACTTTGAGCCAGGCACTCCATCCACTGTACCACTTAACTGCCCGATTTTTTTAAAATAAAATATTTTTAAATACTTTATATTATGGACTGAGTACACCCTGATTCAGCAGAACTTTATTTTTATGTGTTTTTGTTTTGTCTTCTTTTCTGACTTTTTCTTATAGATGATAGAACATAGTTCTACAGTTTAGTTATATTGATACATTTAGTTATTGCTAAGTCATTGATTTCATGTTACTTTTGTTCCACAGGATCTGTATGGGTATAACATGAAGTCAGATATTTATAGTGTTGGCATTACAGCGTGTGAATTAGCCAATGGGCAGGTACCTTTCCAAGATATTCACCGGACTCAGGTAAATATTATTAAATTCCACTCAGAACCATTCTCTTTTCATAAGATGCATTCTACTCTAAATAACTTCTATAATATGTACTTTTTAAAAATAGCCCAAGGTTGATTCTGTAATTCCACAGAAATGATACTGTGCTTATCTTTAAAGAAGGAACATTTTTAGGGGAGTGGAGCCAGGATGGTAGATTAAAGAAAAGGAATCGCCTGAGCTTTCCCAAATTGCCTTCCAAACAACATTAAAATAATGCCTCCAAATGAATTCTGGAGCAGCAGAACAAACAAAAGGATGGGTGAAACAATTTTCCAGCCCAGTGTAACAAGTCAGCAGGAAAGGTCTGTCTCACTAGGGTGAGAGTATGACACAGTCCATTGTAGTCCAACACAGGCTGCCTCTAGCAAGGCATCAATGAGGTCCCAGTCCCCTGCACCAGACAGCCAGTAGTGGCCCATACCCACTTGGTACAAGCCAGCAACAGGCTTTGAATAAGTAGCAGCAGCTTCTGGAGGTCTCAGCCCACAGACATTAAGTGGGTCAGACAGCTGTTTAGATTGAAATTACAAGAGATCTTTTGTTGGCGCTGGATACAGGACTCTGTTGCCTTACCCATATGTAGTTCTGGATCGCAGACCATGGTGAAGAGGAGAACTAGAAGGAGTAGGCATGCTAGTCACAGTTCCAGAGTGGAAAAGAGTGCTTGTAGTCATTCACAGGGCAGGAGAGCACTGGTCATACCTATCCTTAAATCATATCACTTTGGAAGAGCTGAAACTTACAGACCTCCATAACATGCTCTGAACATAGTAGCATGAAAAACCTGAAGCTTTGGACAACAGAGCCCAAGTTTACAATGTCAAGAAAAAGGCTAGAAAAATTAGCAAACATCAAAAAAAAAAAAAAAAGAACCTGACCATAGAAAGTTGATATGGTGATAGGGAAGATCAAAACACAAACTCAGAAGAAGAAAATTATGTCAAAGCAGCTACATGCAAAGCCCTAAAGAAAAATCTGAATTGGTCCCAACTCCTGGCCAAAGCTCAAAAAGGATTTTAAAAATCAAATAAGAGAGGCAGAGGAAAAATGTGGAAAAGAAATGAAAATGATGTAAGAGTCAACAGCTTCTTAAAGAAGACACAAAAAATACTGAAGAAAATAACATCTTAAAAAACAGCATGAGCTAAATGGCAAACTAGGCACAAAACATCCACTGAAGAAAAGAACTCCTTAAAAAATAGAATTGGCCTGGGCCAGGTGGCACAGTGGATAGAGCTCCAGCCTTCGAGTCAGGAGGACTTGAGTTTAAATCCAAACTCAGACACATGATACTAGCTGTGTGACCCTGGGCAAGTCACTTGACCCCAACTGCCTCACCAAAATGCAAAAAATAATAATAATAATAATTGGCCAAATAGTAAAGGAGGTACAAAGGCTCACTGAAGAAAATCATTCCTTAAAAATTAGAATTAACCAAGTGGAAGCGAATGACTCCACGAGATATCAAGAAACAAAAAGAATGAAGAAAGTAGAAGAAAATGTGAACTATCTCATTGAAAAAATAACTGACCTAGAAATTAGATTGAGGAGAAATAATTTAAGAATTATTGGTCTACCTGAAAGCCATGATTAAAAAAAGAGGCTAGACATCATATTTCAAGAAATTATCAAGGAAAACTGCCCTGATATCCTAGAGGATGTTACCAGAGGGTAAAATAGAAGTTGAAAGAAATTACCAATTACTTTGTAAAGGAGATCTCAAAGTGAAAACTCCTAGGAATACTGTAGCCAAATTCCATAGCTCCTAGTTCAAGAAGAGAATATTGCAAACAACTGGAAAGAAATAATTAAAATAGTGTGGAGCCATGGTCAAGATAATACAAGATTTAGGAGTTTCTACAGTAAGGGATATGAGGGCTTGGAATATGATATTACAGAAGGCAGAGGAGCTAGGATTATAACCAAGAATTACCTACCCAGTAACACTGAAACTATAATCCTTCAGGGGAAGAAGAATGGACATTTAATGAAATAGAGGACTTTTAAGCATTACCGATGAAAAGACCAGAGCTGAATAGAAAATTTGACTTTCAAATGCTAGACTCAAGACAAGCATGAAAAGGTAAACAGGACAGAGAAATCATAAGGGACTTGTTAAGGTTGAACTGTTTACATTCCTACATGGAAAGATGATATTTGTAATTCATTAGGGAAGTTAGAAGGCGTAAACATAGACAGAGGGCCTGGGTGTGTGACTGTGATGGGATGATATCAAAAAATTAAGGGGTCAGAAAAAGGGATATACTGGGAGAAGTGGGAAGGAAGAGGTACAATGAAATAAATTGTCTCACATAAGACAAACATGAAAGAGCTTTTACAGTGGAGGAGAAAATAAGGGGATGGTAGGCAACACTAGAACCTTATTCTCATCAGAATTGGCTCAAAGCAGGAATAACATACACACTCAGTTGGGTACAGAAATCACCCTACAGGGAAGTAAGAAGGGAAGGGGACAAGGAAAGGGGGTGCTGATACAATGGAGAGCAGATTGGGGGAGATAGTGGTCAGAAGCAAAGCAATTTTGATAAGGGATAGAATGAAAGGAGAGAGAGAAGAATAAACAGAGGGAAGAGAAGGATGGAGGGAAATAAACAATAATTGTATCTGTGAATGGGATGAACTCATCCATAAAATGAAAGCAGATAGCAGAAAGGATTAAAAACCAGAGTCCTACAATGTGTTTAAAAGAAACTTACTTGAATCAGAGAGAGACACACAGAGTAAAGTGTAAAGTGCTGAAGAAGAATCTTATTATACATCAATTGAAGTAAAAAAAAAAAGGGGGTAGCAATCATAATCTCAGACAAAAGCAAAAATAGATCTAATTAAAAGAGATAAAAAGGGAAACTACATTTTGCTAAAAGATACCATAGACAATGAAGTTATATCAGTAATAAACATATATACATCAAATGCTATAGCATCCAGATTCTTAAAGAAAAACTTCAATGAAAAAGTTAAAAGGAGGAAATAGTAAAACATTCTAGTGGGGGGCCTCAGCTTTCCCTTTTTAGAACTAGATAAATTTTACAAATAAAGAAGAAAGAAGTTAAGGAAATGAATAGAATTTTAGAAAAGTTAGATATGATAGATATCTGGAGAAAATTGAATGGGAATAGAAAAGAATATATTTTTTTGTAGTGGTACATAGCACCTACACAAAAATTGACCATGTGTTAAGGCATAAAAACTTCACAACCAAATGCAGAAAAACAAAAACATTAAATGCATCCTTTTATTATTATGACACAAACTAAATCTAATCCTAAAGAATGAGTGGGTCAGAGAACAAATCAGAGAAACAATAATTTCATCAAAGAGAATAACAGCAATGAGACAATATAGCAAAATTTATGGGATGCAGTCAAAGTGCTACTTAGGGAAAAAATTATATTTCTAAATGTTTACATCCATTAAATAGAGAAAAATCAGATCAATAAATTGGGAATTCAACTAAAAAAAAAACTAGAAAAAGAACAAATTTTTGAAATCCCCAATTAAACACCCAAATAGAACTCCTGAAAATTAAAGGAGAGATTACTAAAATTGAAAGTAAGGGGGACAGCGAGGTGGTGCAATAGATAGAGCACTGGCCCTGGAGTCAGGAGGACCTGAGTTCAAATCTTCCTGCAGACACATAACACTTACTAGCTGTGTGATGCTGGGCAAGTCACTTAACCCCATTGCGTAGCCAACAAAAACAAAAATAAATGAAAGTAAGAAAACATCGAACTAATAAAGCTAGGAGCTGGTTTTTAATGTAAAAAAATACAGATAAATCATTGATTAATTTGATTAAAAAGAAAACCAAATTATTGCTATCAAAAATGAAAAGGGTAAATTTACCACCAATGAAAATGAAATTAAAGCATTCATTAGCAGTTATTTTGCCCAGTTATATGCCAAAAAAACTAACAATTTAAGTAAAATGGATAAATATGTACAAAATATAAATTGCCCAGATCAACAAATAACCGCATCTTAGAAAAAGAAATTGAACAAGCCATCAGTGAGCTCCCTAAGAAAAAAATCCTCAGGACTAGGTGGATTCACAAGTGAACTCTATCAAATATTTAAAGAACAATTAATTCCAGTTCTACATAAACTATTTGGGAAAATAGGCAAGGAAGAAGTCCTTCTAAATTCTTTTTACAACACAAATATGGTGCTGATTCTTAAAACAGGAAGAGCAGAAATAGAGAAAGAAAATTGTAGACCAATTTCCCTAATGGCTATTGATGCAAAAAATTTAAGCAATATACTAGCAAGGAGATTACAGTAATACATGACAATCATCATACACTATGACCAGATGGGACTTATACCAGGAATGCTGGACTAGTTCAATATTAGGAAGACTATCAGTGTAATTGACAATATCAATAACAAAACCAACAGAAATCATTTGATTATCTCGATGCAGAAAAGGTTTTTGACAAAATACAACAATCATTCCTATTAAAAACACTAGAAAGCATAAGAATAAATGGACCTTTCCTTAAAATGATAAGTAGTATCTGTCTAAAACCATTAGCAAGCATTAATTGTAATGGAGATAAGCTAGAAGCCTTCCCAGTAAGATCAGGGGTAAAGCAAGGATGCCCACTATCACCGCTATTATTTAATAATGTACTAGAAATGCTATTTCTAGCAATAAGAGAAGAAAATGAAATCGAAGGAATTTGAATAGGCAGTAAGGTAACAAACTATCACTGTGCAGATGATATAATGGAAAGAGAGTCAACTAAATAACTAGTTAAAATAATTAACAAGTTTAGCCCAGTTGCAGAATATAAAATAAACCCATGTAAACCATCAGCATATCTCTGTATTACAAACTGCAGCAACAGCACTTAGAGACATTCCATTTAAAATAACTATAGACAATATACAGTACTTGGGAGTCTACCTCCCAAGAAAAACCTAGGAACTATTTGAACACGATTACAAAACACTTTTTATACAAATAAAGTCAGATCTGAACAATTGGAAAAATGTTAATTCCTCATGAATAGGCTGAGCCAACATAATGAAAATGACAATTCTAAGTAAATTAATTTACTTGTTTGGTGTCATACCAATCAAACTACCAAAAATTTATTTTATAGAACTACAAAAAATAATAACAGAATTCATCTGGAAGAACAAAAAAACATGAATATTAAAGAAATTAATGGGGGGGAAAAAGTGAAGGAAGGTACCTTAGCCATACCAGATGTCAAACTATTATAAAGTGGTAATCATTAAAACAACCTGGTACTGGCTAAGAAATAGAGTGGTGGATCAGTGGAATAGATTAGATATACAATACATTGTAGTAAATGACCATAGTAATCTAGTGTTTGATAACCCCAAAGATGCAAGATTTTGGAGCAAGAACTTACTATTTGGCAAAAACTACTGGGAAAACTGGAAAACAGTTTGGCAGAAATTAGGTATAGACTAACATCTCATACTGTATACCAAGATAAGGTCAAAATGGGTACATGATTTAGACATAAAGGGTGATACCATAAGCAAATTAGTAGAGCATTGAAAATTTTACCTGTCAGATCTATGAATAAAGGAAGAATTTATGACCAGACAAGAGATAGTGTTATGAGATATAAAATGAATGATTTTGATTATGTTAAAAAGGTTTTGCCCAAACAAAACCAATGTAGCCAAAATTAGAAGGCAAGCAGAAAGCTGGGAAAAATTTTTATAGCAAATGTCTCTGATAAATACCTCATTTCTCAAATATATAGGGAACTGAGTCAAATTTACAAGATACAAGTCATTCCCCAATTAATAAATGGTCAAAAGATATGAACAGATAATTTTCAGATGAAAAAATCAAAGCTATCTGTAGTCATATGAAAAAATTTCTCTAAATCACTATTGATTAGAGAAATGCAAATTAAAACAACTCTGAGGTACCATCTTGCACCTATCAGATGGGCTATAATATAACAGAAAAGGGAAATGATAAATGTTGGAGGGAATGTGGTAAAATAGGGACACTAAGGCACTGCTGATGAAATTATTAACTAATTTGACCATTCTGGAGAGCAATTTGGAGTTATACCCAAAGGCGTATAAATCTGTGAATATTCTTTGACCCAGTAATACCACTAATAAGTCTGTGTCCCAGAGAGAGTTAAAGAAGAAGAAAGAAAAAAAGATCATCGTTAAAAAAAAATTTATAAAGCAGCTCTTTTTGTTGTGACAAAGAATTGAAAATTGAAGGGCTGTTCATCAGTTGGGGAAAGACTGAACAGGTTATGGCCCTCTCTTTGTACCAGAGAAGTCTAAATTTTTTCTTTTTCTTTTATGGAGTGTTTACCTTATTGTAAATTTTTGGTTAAGAATTTGGTCATAGGCTCTGTGTGGTCTGTTAGCCTTCACGTGGTCATCTCTGGCTTTCACAAAACTCCCAAAAAATTCCCACTTAATTTGTTAAGCCCACCCATGATCTATCTAAACCACAGCAGGGAAAGTCATAATGTGGAAGGGATAACTATACTATTTTGCTATAAAAAATGACAAGCAGGATGCTTTCAGAAAAACCCAGGAAAACTTACATGAACTGTTGCAAAGTGAAATGAGCAGAACCAGGAGAACAGTGTATATAGTAGCAGCAGGTATTGTACATTGATCAACTGTGAATGATTTAACTGTTCCCAGCAATACGATGATCCAAGATGATTCCAAAGGATTCCTGATGTGTACCTCCAGAGAAAGAATGATGTCTGAATGAAGATCAAAACATACTATTTTTCACTTTTTTTCATGATTTTTTTTGGGGGGTCTTTCACAACATAACCGTTATGTAACTATGTTTTGCATGGTTGCACATTTATAACCTATTTCAAGTAGTTTGACATCTCAGGGAGGGGTTAGGGAGAAGGAAGACATTTTGGAACTCAAATTTTTTATAAAAACGAATGTGAAAAAAATATTTTTATAGGTAATTGGAAAAAAATAAAATATTAGAAAAAGAAACATTTTATCTGAGCGAAAATTTTTTTCCTCCTAGATGCTATTACAAAAACTGAAAGGTTTTCCTTCCTGCCCATTGGAGAAAAATGCATCCCTTCAAGCAGAATCCAGATTAAAAATTTCCCGCTCTGGTGTAGACTCTGGAATTGGAGAAAGTGTGCTAGTGTCTAGCCCAACACGCACAGTGACCAGTGACAGACTGCAGACTCCTTCCTCAAAAACTTTTTCTCCTGCTTTTCATAGTTTGGTAGAACTATGTTTGCAACAAGACCCTGAAAAAAGGTAACAACGATTGCATCTAAAAGAGAAAATATACTTGTTTCACATAAATCAGGAAAATCTTGCCTATTCAGATGAGCTTAGATTCCTTATTCTGAAAAACCAGACTTTTAATTTAATTACATATAATCTTTTGTATCCACATAATCAGTAACCTAGCATAAACACAAAAATATATAAAACCAAAGCATCGTGCTGCCGTGGAGAAGCTACTGGACTAGGAGCCACAGATCCAGGCTTTGCTACTTACTAGCCATGTGATCTTAGGCAAATCACAACCTCATTAAAGCCTCAAAAAAAAGAGATAATTATGCCTGCCTTCCACAGGTAACTTGTGTTGATAAAGTGAGAATATGTTAAAGTGTTTTTTGTTTTGTTTTTGGGCAATGGGGGTTAAGTGACTTGTCCAGGGACCCACAGCTAGTGTTATGAACTCAGGTCCCCCTGAATCCAAGGCCGGTGTTCTATCCACTGTGCCACCTAGCTACCCCCATGTTAAAGTGTTTTGAAGAACATAAAGTGCTATGTAATGATGATGGTGGTATTATGTTTATTTTTTATATTAAAAATATAATCATAATTTCGTAAGGTAGGAAGGGGATGGAATGTGTGTTTTCATTATAAACATTTTATTCCACAGTTTCATGTTTAACGTAGATGATTGGCAATAAGAACTTGGAGATACTCCTTTTCAGTTTCATTCCTCCACATTCCCTCTTACTCTCATCCTCAGTTATTTAAATAATTAGTTTCTGGAGGAATTCCAGTCACTCCAGGAGATATTGGGGAGACCTTACAGCTGATTGCCAGACTTCACTGGCTGTGGCACCTTGGTAGGGTCTAGGGTCTGGTCTTTGACTTCTAAGGGTTAGTAATTGGATTTTGTCAGTTTACCCAGAAATGATTAGATTTTGGGGGAATGAGCCACATTTACAAAACTCAAAATTTATTGAAACTAAAATACCATTCTATTAATTTACAGTGGAAATGTAATTCCCAAATACACTCTAATGTCCATGTTTATGTTGGCTATTTTTACATTCTCTTGGAAGGATCAGTCAGTCTACTTTGAAGACAAAATTAACTGCTAAGATCAGCCTGACATGTACCCATTACCACTGTAGGGGTAATACCCTCTAAATAAACCAGAATACTTCCATCATTTGTTCAGGGTACCCACTCCACTGACTGAATGCTCCTTTTCAATTTTATTTGTCAGTTACCCAAAACCAAACACCTTTTGTTGTTACAGGGCTTTCTCATGATAGACATACTACAGTTTTCAAAATTACATTTTATTTTATATTATTTGCATGTTAAATTGGTGCCTTCCTTTTTAGGTAGAACTCTAATCTCCTTGATAATATTTAGAAAGCATTCTAATATTATTAGCATGCTATTTATATCATCCCTTTGGGTAGATTTCTTCTTCAAATGGCTAATCTCATCCATTTTATGTTGATTTTTATTCTGTTCTCCCCCTTTTCACAGTTTCATTACATAATGACTTTCAGATTTGTATCTCTAGCCCTGACCTCACTCCAGATCCCCAGTTTTATATCTCCAACTATATATCCTCAAACTCAGTGTCTCAGATCAGAGCTCTACCTTTTCCTCTAAATTGGCTCCTTTCCTTTCTCTAATGTTTTTAAAAAGGATCCCAGTTACCGGGGCTAAACACAACCAGCAGCCCGAGGCTTCCTGCTTTCCACTCCACACCACACAGAATAAACCTCACAGAATCGTTTTCATTTGTGCTCTTTGGTTGCTGCTGCCCTAGTTTAGAGCCTCCTCATCTTCCTTCAGGCCTTCTGGAATGGCCTGTTAAGCCACACCCTGGCCTCCCATGCTGCACCTCCAACCCATCATGCCCATAGACGCCAGAACAATCTTCTCAGAAGACCATATTAGTCATTAACATCCCCCACTTCAAAGGGAGACAAAATCTCTAAAGCTTCCCAGGCTGGCTTCAAGGCCCTCCAGTTCAGCAAGCATGTGCAAAAGTTCACGAGTGTGTGTTTGTGTGTGTCTGTGTGTGTGTGTGTGTGTCTGTGTGCCTTGTGTACAGGGCACTTCCACTGGAGGCTGGGAGAATAAGAGACACAGGAGCCTCAGCATCTCTCTAAACTTTGCTCATCACCCTGTACAAAGTCTGTGTGCCCCCAACCAGATTGACCTCACTTTGCCATGTGCACACACACACAATTAGGGGGTGTGATGATGCTAGAGAGGAATAATAATGGTAAACGTTTATGTCAGGCTTTAAAGCTTTACAAATCATTTTACACATAATCTCATTGGATCCTCACAAAAACCCTACAAAGTAAGTGCTGTTATGATCCCCATTTTACAGTGGAAGAAACTGGCAAACAGGTGAAGTGACTTGCCCATGGTCACCCAGCTAGTAAGTGTCTGAGGCAGGACTTGAACTCAGGTCTTCCTACCTCTAATATCAGCAGTTTAGGCACTGTGTCACCTAGCAGTCTTGGAATCTGAAATTCTAGAGATGCTAAATCATTCTATGTTCTACGTACCTGACTGTGCCTCTTTGCTTCTTTTTCCTCTTTATTGGCCCTGAAGGCAAGAGGATTGGGTTTGATTCCTTCCTGTGATATTGTATGACCATGGGCAGGTCACTTATACTCTCTCAGCCTCAGTTTCCTCCTCCGTCAAATGAAAGCCATCTCTGAGGCTTCTAGTCCTGTACCCTGTGATCCTGTGATTCTCTGAGGCAAGGGAGGCTTAGATTGTGCCTCTGGCACTGAAGCTTCAGGCAGGTTTGATACAGACCAGGTTTGGGTGGGGAAAAGCCTGTATTTGTACCAATGTGGAATTTTCTTTCTTCCCCTATTGAAATCTTCATGCGGTGATTTTTTGAACCTATAAAACTTTAGCTCCAAATGCTGACAGATTTCTTAAACTCAGAATTCACTTTTTAAAAGAAAGCTACATTCCTTTTTTATAAATCATTTTGTTTTCTATTCCAGACCATCAGCAAGCACTTTGCTGTCACATGCGTTTTTCAGACAGGTGAGCTGGGCTGTTGTGGAGATGGGATCTTTATAAACAGTAAATAAGTGCATAAGGGCAAGAACAAGATAATATTATTAAATAAATGATCTTTGATTTGGCTGTTAAAAGTTAAAAAGGTTTTGTGGGGTATTGAAGTTGCAGGAAAAAAACCCCACAAAAACCACAACCACATACACATATACATACACACAAATTACAATCTTCAAGTAACATTTGAATTACTTTTTAAACTTTAGTTTTCCTCGTGGACCAAAAAGGTTGCTACAATGCATAATTTCTCTTAAGTTAGACAGTCTTAAAGCTGTTGAGAGCAAACTTATTCTGGGAACTCGTGCTTCTGTTGCCCTTTGGCATGTTGCCTTCCTCTCTTATTAGATTACCAGAATCAAAGCAGGCAGGTTTAGGGTTAGTGCCCAGAAATTGTCTTGTAAAAACATGGTTAGGCAAAAAAATTGCATTGTCATTTCTGACGAAAAAATTTTGTATTCTGATAACACAACTAAGATTTTGAATTTATGTACCAAATAGTCTTGTTTTGCTCTTTTTTTTTTTAACAGATAAAAGAACAAACCCAGGATTCAATACTTTCATTGCTGCCTCCTGCTTATAGCAAATGGCCAGTGGCAGTGCCCCCAGTGTCGACTTGGACTGAGCCTAATTATATTCTTACTGATGAAGATGTTGGCTGGGAATTTTAGAGATGCCAAATCACTCTTACATCCTATGTACTTGACCTCTTTGCTGCTTTTTCTCTATGTTGGCTAAGTACCTGTGCCAGAGCCATACTTGAAAACACGGTTGTTGCACTGGAAATTAATTTGAAACCACTCTTTTCAAAGGGGGCACTACTCTAGCAGCCTTTCCAAATGGCTCTGAGTGCTATCACAAGTACTGGAAACTTCAGAATTAGGAATTTGGTTGCTGTATTTCGTTGTGTATTTTGTTCAAACTGTGATTGATTCCTCCTCAATCTCTCAATGTAATGTTGACCTATTTTCTCATGTTCTTGGCTGCTTTGAAGGTGAATGGACCCTCCAAGTAGGACAAGACAGTGCCTCTCCAAATACATCTTTTTTTCTAGTCTCTAGCCTTCTGGTCTCCTACCACCGGGCAAGTGGCTAATTCATCTTGGCACAAAGCTATTTTAAGTAGAGGGAAAACTGTTTATGTTTTTTTGTCTCCTGATAATATCTATTCTTTGTCAATCTGAGCCTGACATTAAATGATTCACTTGTATTTATATAAATGAATATGCAGTTTTTTCCTTTTCAAGCACCAATTAGCTGCACTTTTCTACCTTTGTAAATTATAAGGCTTAAATCCATGCACTTTGGCCCTCAATAAATATTCATTGAATTGAGTTTATTCCATCAATTTGGTTTTCCCTTTGAGTGATATGACCCAGTTTTAGCACAGGATGTTTTTTCTTATCTCTCCAATTAGGAAGAGCTTTTACACAGACTGCTAGATTTGTTTAAGAGATATAAAAATAATTCTTATATAGCACTGTCCTTATTCTCTAGGAGTTTATAGTCTAGACTCTTAGAGCAAGGACTCTTAACCTGGAATCTATGAACTTATTTTAAAAATGTTTTGATAACTATATTTCAATATAATTGGTTTCCTTTGTAATCCTGTTATTTTATTTTATACATTTAAAACATTATACTAAGAAGGGGCTCATAGGCTTCCCCATTCTGACTGCCAAAAGGGTCCATGAAACCACAACAGTTCTTTTGCTCTTCAATATATAGTATTCCAAGACCTGTGGTCTTTTAGTGTAGGCACTGCTAAGTCTTGTGTGATTCTAATTGTGGCTCTGCCATATTTAAATTGTTTTTTTTTTCTTGTTGCTTATAATATTTTCTCCTTGATGTGGGCCGTGGCATCCATTCTTTTACTAATAGATTGGCTTCGCTGGCTTGCCTCTAGATATTACAAGCTGCTTGATAATGATACAAAGTCTGCATGGAAATCTTAAGGCACAGTCCCTTTTGTACTGGGCTGTGACAAAGGAATTATCAGACTCAAGTGGGGGAGGGTCTGAGAGTGGGGGGGGGCAGGAATGATCCACTGTTATGAATGATCCCATAATTTGCTCCACCAAGCTTTCTCCACGTAATTTACCCAGTCCCCTGGATGAGTCACAGAAGCAATTTAAATAAACAGTCATCCTAGGCTGCAAGTACAATTTGAAGTTCCTAAAAGCATTTATTTACAAAACAAACACACTCTCACCCATTATGTGGATTGAAGTAGTTATAAAATAGCTGGGTCTGGGACCTTTCTCTGGTAGGTGTCCTCAGAATCAGGATTAAAGCAATTCTTTGATGTTTTTTCTTAAATTTGGTGAAAGGTGCACATATTTCAGGCTTGCAGATTCAGTAATGTGAATTTAGAAAAATAAAAAGTAAGAGATAGTTCCAAGCCAGATAGATGTTCAGAGGAGAGAAGAAATACACAATTAGTATAATTTATAGGACTGAAAGTTAAGAAGCTACACTAAATATAATTATGGGCAAATTCACTTCTCTGTGCCCCATCTTCCTCTGTAAAATGAGATGAGGCAATCTTTAGAGTCCCTTCCAACTCATTCTATGGTCTCTCAAAACATTTTGTTTTTAAAATAATTGCCTAGTTTTGGTATGTGGTAAACTCTGATGAGTATAATTAACCAAACAACATTTTAAAAAATTTCTGATGTAATTATCTTGCTAGAGAATTATGTCTTTCTTTTATTCTTTACAAGAAACAAGAAAGCTGGCTAACATATGCAGACAGGAACTACTATCCAGATGTGAAAATATAATCACACTTCCAGTGTAGGCTCATCCTAGCCATGTTTGAAAAGGTTCTTTTAAGACAGCCACAAGTTGATAAATGTTTTTGGCCATACACTATGAACAATACAATCAATCACTTGAAATATCATAAAAGTATAAATGGCCTTTCTCCAAGAAAGACCTACAATAATGTTTTTGTGGAATCAGATTTTACCAAGTGGAAAGGTTTCCAGAATGAGCCTAGAGATAACATCTATGTCTCTCATCCAAGCAGGGAACAGCCTCGCTGCTTCTGACTCAATTCCCCGGAAGACCATCTACTAATGCTAAGTGGTAGACCAGGAATTGTGGAAGTATACATGCAAATTTGTGAATGGAAGATTTAATGCAACAACTTTCCATACTATCTAAACTGTCTTAGGAAATGGGTTTCTGATGTAAAGCTATTGCAGTCTAAGACTGTCCTGTGATGGAGATAGGTTCTCCTAATAGGAAAATATTTGCCTCATGTTTCTTTGTGCACACTTAAAAGCTACATTAAAATAAATGGGATCATTTGAAATACCATAAAAAATGACCTGTCTCCACTAAAGTACTATTCCATTGCTTTTTGAAGGTCATCTGAGAGTCTTATTCAAAGCAGCTATCCACCAAGTTTTAGAAAACAACATGATCTAAATTCAAGATTTGTTCAGGCCAGTAATTAAAGAATAGTTGAGTGTCAACTATCCAGTACTAGTGCATATGTATAGGCTTTTTAACTGTGTGCCATCTTTGTTTCTCAGTATGTTTCTCTGATAGTTGTCTTCCTTATTACATCCTATCAGTTGCTGCCCAGAGCCCAGTAATCAAAAGGTGTTGGAAATATTCTCTAGTGGAGGAAAACTAAGTCGAATTCAAGTGCAATCAATCCTAGATAAGACTGACTCTTGGCTAAATAGCATTTTCTAGTCATTATCAATTGAAGACTGAGATTAAAGATTAAAACCCCTATCTGCATAATCATGTCAAACTGCACTCCATTTAAAAAAATTTTTTTTAAACCATTAATAAATGGTCAATAGTTCCCTCACAGTCTCATGAATAAAAATACATATATATGCATCATAAATGTTTATTTGTATTTCACTGAAAACAATGACTCTAACAAGATGAAATTTTGTAGTGAGCTGCTAAATAAGAGGACTGACCTATTCTCATTTCATTGGTGGGGGGATTCATGATGTACTTAATAATCATCCTCATACTTGCGTTTCACATATGAACTGTTTAACAACTGTAGAATATCACAAATGACTGAACATTTTTCAAGATCTTTTAGGTCTTTTTTCTGATGACGTTCCTCTAGACCTGGGTTTGCAGCATTTACATGAGATAAGCCTGCTGACACTACCCGTGGGGATGTGAATTTCCCAAAGCTTTCTTTCAATCGTTTGTTAAACTCTGGAGCAGTATTTGGTCTTGCAAGGTTTTTAAATGTACACTGGTTATTATCTGGGCTTCTTCCCAAGTCAAACCTTGCTCTTGCTTTTGCTTTTTCGAGATGCTTAAATGAGGCCACATGTAAATCTTCCTTTTTATTTTCTGAAGAGTCCTAAATATTAAAAACAAAAGCAGAGTAGATTAATAATTTAAGCTTATCTGACTTTTTAAAGTTAAAAGGAATATAGCTTATACAGTTAGAAGGATAGAATAGTAGCATATGCCAGATAGGCAATCCCCAGTGTACAAATATTTTTCTTACTGCTCCTCTCTCTAATCCATACCTCCCCTGAATCTTTGCTACTATAGCTATGGTGATGCATTTGGAGCTTTCAAAGATCTGTGGGTTCAGGGGTAGAAGAATGGATAAAATACTATTAAAAAAAAAGACAGCTTAATAGTAAATGAGCCTGGGGACTAACTAAATTAATCAGACAAGACTAATCTGCCTACTCGGTGGCCTCCCTAGCATATCTTCACCCATAATTTGTGAAAAATTTCAATTTTATTTCTGTCACCTAAAATTATACTAATTATTCATTTGGCTTAATGAACATCATTTTCATTCCTTGGGGAAGTTACTGAGAATTTATACACATCAGGTTTTTTCCCCCTAACACCTAGCTGAGACAAAGGAAATGAGAGCTTTGGGGGGGGGGGATTTGGGACAATGAGAGTGGGAAGCTAGGTAATTTTGTGACCTTGGGCAAGTTAATTAACTTCTAAGAGCCTCAATTGTCTCATCTATAAAATGAGAAGGTTGAACTATATGTGTACTAAGTAAGGTCTCTTCCAGTTTTAAATCTATCTATAACCCTGTGTTCCTACTTCCAATAATCTCATTTTATACAGATAAGGAAACTGGGTCTGCAAGCTGAAATGATTTACTTAAGGACATATAGCTTGACAGAGCCAAGATAAACTCAGAACTCCTAGTCTGATACCCTAGCAATCTTATGTGTGTATGAGGGTGGCAGTGGAGAAGTGAATGATTAGGGCAGTCCGAAAGCACTAGAAGCTTGACGAGAGGGACACTAGGAGGTGGCGAATGTTTTGCTATTTATACATTTTAACTGTGGTTAGTTCTGCATGCAAAAAAGTGAGAAAATGTCTTTCCATTCCTCCTCCATCTAGACGAACCCCAGGGGATCCTAAAAACCAGAATTTTGGTTAATACTGTTAGTGATGTAATTCAGCTGGTTTGCGGATTAAATGGGCTTTTGTGGGTTGGCCTTGGATTCTAAGAGCCATTTACAAAAACTTTACAAAAAATTCCCATTTTTTTCCATGAAAAAAATGCATCTCAACTTCCAAACAACCAATATACAAACTTTCAGAATACATCCTGATTGCAAATTGGGGACTACTTGTACACCGTCTTTGGCATACCGCTGAATACTTTGTATAATTTTTAGATTATTTCCAATAACATAAAATTTTCTGATATCCATGAAAATAATTATTTTCCTACACACAGAGATATGCTCTGACATAGAATTAGTACATTTATCAGAGCAGAATTTTTCATGTAGGTAATATAATTATAATACATAGATGCACTTAAGAATTAAGAGGTATAGGCATGGGTAACCACATCACCTGGCTGGTATCTACTGGGTGCTCCTCCAAGTCCAAGTTCCCTGAACACTGTGATATTTGGTTCCCTCTGGGGGATGCTGGAATGTTAAAGAACCTGATGAATGAGCTCAACTAAAAAAGTCTTTTTTTTTTTTTTGGCTAGGCAATGGGCTTAAGTGACTTGCCCGGGGTCACACAGCTAGTAAGTGTTATGTGTCTGAGGCTGGATTTGAACTCAGGACCTCTTGAATCCAGGGCCAGTGCTCTATCCACTATGCCACCTCGCTGCCCCTAAAAGTCCTTTTAACAGTCAATTTTGTGTGCTATCAACTTTACTAAAGACACAAACTGAATTATACAGTGCTTCAATGGAAGAGATGTTCCTCAACTTTCCCACTGTACATTACAGGCATATTTCCCAGTGCCTTTCCTCAGCACCCAGTTAAACAATCTTAAAATTCCACTGTTTATGAAACCCTAGGGTAATTAGCAAGATCCTTAACTACTTAAAAAGAGTAATATTAAGCTTTTAAGGGATTTCCTTTTAGAAAGGATTGGGCATGTGATTTCACTGATATATAGATCACTCCCTGGTGAGGAAATTACCTCTCCCAATGAAGGATGCTTTCTTTGAAATTCATACAGCTAGGTCCCCAATTAGTGCTTGAAGTGGTTGCCTTATTCAAATTTGCACTGTATATTTCCAATGAAAATGAAACCAATGACCATATTTTACACAATTACAACTTCAAATAGTATAAATTCTAATAGATGATACTACTTCATGGAATTTATTATTCATACTTAATCTAGCTGTAATCTTAGAGAGTTGCCTAGAGTACTGAGAGGTGAAGTGATTTGCCCATGGTCATACATCAGTATGTGTCAGAAACAGGAATTTGAACTGAGGTCTTCCTTTGTTCGAGGCTGGCTCTCTATTCACTATTCTCCATATGTATGTATGTGTGTATGTATGTATGCATGCATGTATGCATGCATGTATACACATGCATACATACACGTATATACACATGCACATATGTATATGTGGCAATATGCATGTGTATATGTCTACATATATACATATATGTATGTATGTATCTTTAGTTTTCCCCTATACCAGCACATACATATCATAGACGTACACAATACAAAATCATTGAAAGTGGGAAAAGTTATCTCTCTCCATTTTCCCATTTTCCTTCTAACCATTAAGATTATATATATATATAATATATTTTTTTTTCCTGCCCAATTTAAGCTTTGGTACTGTGTGACTGACCCCCTGATTCCAGGATCCAGAACTCATTCTTACTACCATACTACCCTCTGTAGCCTTTTGTGGCCTGGCCTGGGAACCTAAGCATCATTTGTTCCATTTTTTTTTCCTATGAGAAGATGCGTAAGGTAAGACTTTTTTGTACTATAAAGTATTTAAATGCACCATCCAAATCAAAAGAATATTCCCCAAACCATATTCTGAAACAAGTTCTATTTCTCATTTAAGGGAATAATTTACATGTAACAGAAAACACAGATATTCACTCAAATAAGTCAATTTTATACATAAAATTCAGTTCTTGAGAATTTTCTCAAATATAGACAACTTTCAGTTATCCATGTGTGAGAAGGAAAGCAGGGACACAGATAATTCAAAGCAGTCAGTAAGCCTCCAAACCTTTTGTTTTTCAATTCAGTGCAGGGTTTGTTTTTTTCTTTAGCAGATTTAGCTCCCTAATTCACAGAACTAGAAGTGAGCTTAGCTGTCACTGAGTCCAACCATCTCATTTCACAGCTAAGGAAGCAAAGGCTCAGGGAGGTCATGTAAGTGCTAAGTGGAAGAGCTGAAGCTTGAACCCAGGTTCTCTGACCCCAAATCCAAACTTGTACACAGTAGGCACTCGATAAAGGCTAGCTGACTAGATGATAATGCAGTGTGGTGGGCAGAACACTAGGCCAGCCCGAGCCCAACAATGATTAGCTGTGGCCTTGGGTGAAGTGATTTAATCAATCTGAGCTCCAGGTTCCTCATCTGTGATTTGAGAAACCTGTCCCGACAACCCAATGAGGTGGTTGTGAGGAGCAAATGAAGACAACGTGAAAGTGCTTTGAAAATTGTAGAAGTACTATATACATGTAAGGTGATACTAATTAATAGTAAAAACTAATTTGCATTCCTGTGCAATTAAACAAGCATTTATTAAATGTCCACTATGTATGGCACTGTGTTACATAGTGGGGATAAAAAGATGAAATGAATTTCAGCAGAAGATAGCCCAAGATCAATTTGCAGGGCAGAGAGAAGTTAAAATGGACTTTTAAAAATTTGCAGTTGATAATTCACAAAATGATTATGAAAATGCAGCTCATACATGGCAATATCTCCCAGCTGTCCCTACAGACCCAAACCCAATCTGAATATGTAAATGTGTCATCAAGCACTCAGGACCTCATGCTTTGAAGGGAATTTTGTGATTCATTTGGTGTGAGGTTTAAGATGATGTTTGACTTTCAGAAGAATGATTTGATTTAGGGGGACAGTCCGTTTACTACATTTTGAGACAATTAGGATGCATACCGAAAGGCAGAGCCAAGATGGCGGAGTGAAAGCAGTGACTTGCTTGAGCTCTCCTCCAAACCCCTCCAAATACTCATAAAAAATGGCTCTAAACAAATTCTGAAGCAGCAGAACCCACAAAAAGACAGAGTGAAACAAATTTCCAGCCCAAGACAACCTGGATGATTGATCAGAAAGGTGTATCGTGCCGGGCTGGGAGCGCAGCACGGTGTGGGTGCACAGGCCACACCCATGGGCGCGCAAGGCTGCAGCAAACCTGGAGCAGGCCTCAGAGGACTGAATCTTGGGCAGCTGTGGAGGTTTCCAGACTCCTCAATCCACCAATCCAAAGACAAATTAGAAGGTCAGTGGGAAAAGTCTGTTTCTGTGGGTGCCTGAGAAAGGAAGGCAGGGTTTCAGCTCCATTCCCCAAGAGCGTGGCCCTGTGGGGGGGCCACTGCTTCCCGAGCTTCCAGCCCACAGACTGAGGGGGAATCCAGTGGCTGATCAGAGAGGGACTGCAGGGATCTCTTTGCCAGTGCTGAGGCAGGAATCTCTTGCTTTGCCCATGTTTGGATCTGGGCCACAGTTCTGGGCAGCGGTGCTGGGGTGAGGAGGAGCGCTGGCTTGGTGGAGCTTGGAGTGGCTGTGGAGAGGAGCCCCTCATCACAGTTACAGGACAGAAAGGAGTACTTGTAGTCGCAGGCCAGGAAAGGAGTAAACACCTTGCCTCTTATCATACCACCTTGGAAGAACTGAAAATTTACAGGTCCCTACAAGTATCTCTGAAAACAGCTGTACAAACCCCCCAAGCTTGGGACAATACATTCTCCACATTGGAAGCAGATTCGTACCTTAACAAAGAGTTTAAAACTCAAGTAATTGGCCGGGATCATGAGCAAGCAGCGCAAAAAGAGTCAGACTATATTATCTTACTTTGGTGAAAAAGAAGACCAAAATATACAACCAGAAGAAGACAACAAAGTCAAAGCCTCCAAGAAAAACATGAATTGGTCCCAGGCCATGGAAGAGCTCAAAAACGATTTTGAGAAGCAAGTTAGAGAAGTAGAGGAAAAACTGAGAGTGATGCTAAAGGAGACCCAAAAAAATACTGAAGAAAATAACACCTTAAAAAATAGCCTAACCCAAATGGCAAAAGAGGTCCAAAAAGCCAATGAGGAGAAAAATGCCCTAAAAAGCAAAATTGGCCAGATGGAAAAGGAAGTCCAAAAGCTTACTGAAGAAAATACTTCCTTAAAAATTAGAATAGAGCAATTGGAAGATAGTGACTTTATGAGAAATCATGACACAGTAGAACAAATCCAAAAGAATGAAAAATTAGAAAACAATGTGAAATATCTCATTGGAAAAACAACTGACCTGGAAAATAGATCCAGGAGAGAGAATTTAAAAATTATTGGACTATCTGAAAGCCATGATCAAAAAAGAGCCTAGACATCATCTTTCAAGAAATTATCAAGGAAAACTGCCCTGATATAGTAGAACCAGAGGGCAAAATAGAAATTGAAAGAATCCACAGATCTCCTCCTGAAAGAGATCCCCAAAGGAAAACTCCTAGGAATATTGTAGCCAAATTCCAGAGTTCCCAGGTCAAGGAGAAAATATTACAAGCTGCCAGAAGGAAACAGTTCAAGTACTGTGGAACACAATCAGGATAACACAAGATTTAGCAGCTTCTACATTAAAGGACCGCAGGGCATGGAATATAATATTCGGAGGGCAAAGGAGATAGGATTACAACCAAGAATCACCTACCCAGCAAAACTGAGTATAATCCTTCAGGGGAAAAAATGGTCATTCAGTGAAATAGAGGACTTTCAAGCATTCTTGATGAAAAGACCAGAGCTGAATAGAAAATTTGACTTTCAAATACAGGACTCAAGTGGAACATGAAGAGGTAAACAGGAAAGAGAAATCATAAGAGACTTATTAAGATTGAACTGTTTACATTCCTGCATGGAAAGATGATATTTATAACTCATGAGACCTTTGTCAGTATCAGGGTAGTTGGAGGAAAAAAATTATATGTATGTATATGTAGATAGATAGAGGGCACAGGGTGAGCTGAAGATTAAGGGGTCATATCTGGAGAATAAAATTAAGGGATGAGAGAGGATTATACTCGGAGAAGAAGAAAGGGAGAGGTAGAATGGGGTAAATTATCTCACAAAAAAAAACCAGAAAAGTCTCTTACAGTGGAAGGGGAAACAGGAGAAGGTGAGAGGGAATGAGTGAATCTTATTCTCATAGGATTTGGCTTAAGGAGGGAATAACATACACATTCAATTGGGTATGGAAAGCTGTCTTACCCTACAGGAAAATAGGGGGGAAAGGGGACAAGAGAGTAGGGGGATGATAGAGAGGAAGGCAGATTGGGAAAGGGGTTAATCAGAAGTAAAAACTTCTGAGGAGAGACAGGGTCAAAAGAAAGAATAGAATAAATAGGAGGGCAGGATAGGATTAAGGGAAATAGAGTTAGTTTTTCACAACATGTCTACTATGGACGTGTTTTGCATAACTGCACATGTACAATTTATATTGAGTTGCTTGCCTTTTCAATGAGGGTGGGTGGGGAGAGAGGAAGAGACAAAATTTGAAACCTAAAGTTTTAAAAACATATGTTTAAAAAAAATGTTTTCACATGCTACTGGGAAATAAATATATGAAATGGGGTACAGAAGTCTATCGTGCCCTACAGGAAAATAGAAGGGGAAGGGGATAAGAGAAGGGGAGAGAGATAGAAGAGAGGACAGAGTAGGGGAAGGGATATTCAGAATACATGCCATTTTGGGGTGGGGGAGGGAGGAGATGGGGTGAAAAAAAAAAGAAAAAATATAAAGGATGCATACCTACATTTCCCCCCCACTCCTGGGGTGAGAACAAAAGTGAAATATTTACTGGCCTTTACCAAAAAAAAAAATAGATCAAGAAAAGCATTATTACATGTAAATTTCGTTTTCCTGCCCAAGGAAATAGCAGTGTCCTTTGTGAAGACTTCCTTAGAAGCAGTCTTGTGGCCGGCTGGGAGGCTGCTAAGATCTTAGCTGTCCTGTAAAGGGGCCGTTTTTGTTTCTCGACATAATCTCTTTCTCGTCGAAGTTTAGACTTTAAATTTTCTGTTTTTAAGACTTCTGGGAATATGGATGGTTTTGAATTGTTAATGTCTACAATTCTACTGTGGTCAAAAGATTGTGGGGTAGTTGCACATTTTTCAGTAGCAGTTTCTTTGGCCTTAACGCGAACAGCTTGTAACTCTTTGTGGAACTGGGTCACTGTTAACAGGGGCTTCTTTTTGTTGGTCTCTTTGGACTTCCCATAACATTGGTCTTTCAAATTGGATTTTTCCTCATCATCAGAATTTAAATACGCATAAGTATTACTCGACGAGGATAACTTGGATTTGTATAAATATTCCTTAATTTCTGGTTGGACTTCAGAATTCTGGACACATGGTATGAATACTGACTCAGGTTTTTCCTTGACAGTCACTTTATATATGTTAATATGTTCTTTTTTTCCCAGAGGCTTGATTTTCAAAGTACCTTTTGAATGGCTTGTTTTTGGTCTATTATACCAGCCATGTAGGTCTTGGATCTCCTCTTGAAAACCGTTTTTTTCTACTTGTGGCAATCGCATTAAATTGTGGTCTTTTTGTTCCCTTCTTAACACTAGTTTTGTTATTCTTTCTGATGAATTGTTAAATAGGAACTCTTGGCTACTTTTTCTTGAAGCTTTTACTCCTGTTAGACCATGCTTTCCAACTCTTTCTCTGATGTATTGCCTTTCATCTTCTCTCACCAATGATGACCTTCTTTTAATATTATGCAAAGTAAAATATTCCCTTTCCAACTTTCTGGCTAGTTCTATATTTGAAAGCCTTTCATCAGTAACCTCTTGTGACGTATGTCTTGGAAAAGCTTTGTAACTTTGCTTTTCGGAAGGCCTTTCCTGACACTGGTTTAGTCCTCTTAGATCTGAGCTTAAAAACTTTAATGGTCTATCACTGGAATTAGTCGAAGACATGCTCTCATTAATATTATGGAACTCCTTTTCTGTGATTAGTCCCATGTTTGAAAGCCTTTCTATGAAAAGGCTTTGAAGATGTTGGCTGAAATCAGATTTTAGATTTAATATTTCATTTTCTGAGATAACTGATAGAAGGTCTTGTATGGATTGACTTAAAGGACTTCTCTTGTTTAGTTCACTCTCTCCAGAAAAACTCCTCTCTGGATAATCATGTCTTACTTCATGTGAAAATGGTGGGACAGTTTTAGTTCTATAAGGAGGCAAATTATGATATCTATTCTCAGACTCTCTTTCCCTGATTAATTTGGTTTCTGTATGGTTATTTAGTATATATTGGTGGAGGATTTCACTTAAAAGAGCTCTTAATCTTATTTCTAAATGTTTATCATCAAATGAAGAGCAATTTGAATTATTTACAGAAGGCATGCTTTTTTGGGAAGTTTCTGGAAAATCTTTGAAATTATTTTGCTCTTTTGGAGGTATTTCAATCTTGAAAGAAATTGGCAATTCTTTTTTATCATTTATCAGATAAAGACTCTCAAAGATTTTTGGTAAATCTTCCTTGGGGAATGGTCCTGATTCTGAAAGTCTTTTTACAAGAAAATTCTGGATGTATTTGCTAAAATTAGCTTTTAGATGTTCTGCTTCTGATCCTGATAGATACTCTTCAAAACTGCAGTAGTTGGGGCTTGTAACAGGTTTTGCATTGAAATCATCTGATTTATCCATGCTAATTGTCGAATTAGGGTATAATTCCTCATATTCATTTTCTGGAACAAAAAAGGTTTGGTTTTCTTTTTCCACCTCTGCCCCTGATGGTAAGCCTAATTCAGTAACGTTCTCTGTGGAAAGATCAGTAAAGACATCATTTTCAAAAGATTTTAGACATGTTCTATCTGAGTCACTAAGTTTATGTGTGACAGAAGTACTTGCATTTTCCAAACCAGAATCGAGTTCTTTTTCTTCAAAACTCTTTTCTGTATATAATTGATCTGTCTGAGGTAAATCTTCTTCTTTATCCTGTGGGAACTGGTTTTTTGAACTCTTCAGTGATAATTTCCAGCCTTCTTCCATCATTGCGGGTCCTTCTTCAGGAGAACTGGTCTCATTATCTAGCCATGGATTCTCATAGTCTTTATCTAATTCTATCACACTGACTACGCCAGACTCTGAAGAATCTGAAGGAAATGCTTGTAAAAATATGTGCCTCACATAAGATTTAGATTTTGATAGATCTACTCCTGAATGTTTTTCATGTGGTAAGTGACTTGTTGAAGCTAAACCGTTATCCCAAACTGTGAGTGAACTTTGTGGAAAGTCCAGCATTGATACACTGCTCTCTAAGTCCAGTTCTGTGATTTGTCCCTCAGAGGAAATTTGTTCTATGAGTGACACATCCTCTGGGCTTTCAAAACTTTCTGCTACACTTAAAACTGAGATACTGTGTATTACCTCTTCTGAACTCTGACAATATTCTTCTGGGTGCTTCTTTTTGAAGCTATGCTTCCTTCCACTTGACAAATCTCCCTCTGCTATACTTAACTGTTCCTCGGACTCATCAAATGTCTGAGACATATGGCATTCTTCCACTTCTACTTCCTCTGTTAATTCTATTTGGCTTTCTGTTGGACTATCCTTTAGTACTTCTTTTGAAAATGATTTTGAACTTAAACTTTCCTTTCTAGAAATCTCACTCTGATCATTCTTCACAATCTTGAGGACATTTTCTGAAGATTTTGAACTTGCATTTGTGTTTTCTGAAACTTCTGTCTGTTCACTTTGCACAACCTTGAGGTCATTTGCTGAAGATTCTGAATCTGAACTTGTCTTTCCTGAAAGCTCACCCAACTGTTCACCTTGCACAATACTGAGGTCATTTTTTGAAGATTTTGAACCTGAACTCATCTTTCCAAGCTCATTCAGCTGCTCATTCTGCACAATATTGATGTCATTTTTGAAAGATTCTGAACTTGAATTTGTCTTTACTGAACGTTCATCCAACTGTTTACTCTGCACAATCTTGAGGTCATTTTTGAAAGAAGATTTTGAACTTTCACTTGTCTTTCCTGAAAGTTCACCCATCTGCTCACTCTGCACAATCTGGAGGTCATTATTGGAAGATTTTGAACCTGAACTAGTCTTTCCTAAAAGCTCAATCTGTTCACTCTGCACAATCTTGAGGTCATTATTGGAAGATTTTGAACCTGAACTAGTCTTTCCTGAAAGCTCAATCTGTTCACTCTGCACAATCTTGAGGTCATTCTTGGAAGATTTCAAACCTGAACTAGTCTTTCCTGAAAGCTCACTCAACTGTTCACTTTGCACAATCTTGAGGTCATTTTGGGAAGATTGTGAAATTGAACTTGTCTTTCCTGAAAGCTCACCCAACTGTTCACCCTGAACATTCTTGATGTCATTTTTAAAAGATCTTGAACTTGAACTTTTCTTTCTTGAAAGTTCATTTAACTGTTCACTCTGTACAATCTTGAGGTCATTTTTAAAAGATTTTGAACTTGAACTTTTCTTTCCTGAAAACTCACTCAACTCTTCATTCTGCACAATCTTGAGGGGTTTTTTTGAAGATTTTGTACTTGAACTTTTCTTTCCAGAAAGCTCAGTCTGTTCACTGTGCACAGTCTTGATTTCATTTTGAGCATTCTCCAATACATCAGTCTTGAAACTAACTAATGTGTTGTCATCTAAGGTCTTCAAACTCTGGCCTTCCTTTTCTACCTCAATCTCCATAAGGAATCCTTGTTTTGAAAATAATTCTTCTGAAAGGTCCTTCAAATCATCATTTAAAATCGATTTTAGAACCATTGTTTTTTCTAATTTTTCTAGACTTGGTTGAAGCTCTGATAGCTCTGAAAGGAGGTTTTCCTGCCCTTTCCCAACCAAATCTATATCTATAGTAAAGGTTGATTGTCTTTCAAAACTTTCTAAAGAAAGACTTGATAGTCCTCTTTCCATCTCTTCAGTGTCTAAAGATTTTATTGTAAAGATGTCAGGATTGGAGTCCCAGGAAGAATTTTCTGAATTTTCTGTTAAGCTTGATGAAGTTGGTGCGTAAGGAGGGTCTTGATCTTCATGTTCTATCATCTCTGCATTTGATGTATCCTTTTTAACAACGGTACAGATAGGCATATTTTGGATTCTTTTATAATTTTCTTCAATGGGAATTTCAATAATATTCCTTAAAAAAGGCTCAAACTTTCCCCTCTTCCTAATGATGGTTTTCTGGCACTGTAATATTGAAAACAAAATAAAAACAATAAACAGCAGTAAGAAATTTTGAAGCATTTCATATTTTGAATTTATAAGATATCCTTGCCTAATTTTCTGTGAGTACATTTCTGCTCAGTATGATCATAAGCATAACCAGAAAAGGTACTGTTTTTTTAAAGGAACATTTACAATTTGATAGAAAAATTGACATTTTAAAATCAATTTTCTTTAGCTCCCAAGAGTAAAAATCAGCCCGTATGTATATATTTGATGAACCAATCCACAATGCCTAGAAGCATATTTTTTAACAAAAAAAATTCACAATAGACCTTTAAATACCAATTCAATTAATAATATTATCTTTGTTTGATTAGATAGTAACTGACTCCACCAATGAGTCCTATAAGGATAAAAATAACCTACACTGTAATAGAAATATAGGCTGACTCTGAAATGCAAAATATGTTGTTGGATAATCTTCTAAAATTTCACAGTTATTTGGCATCTGCCCTCAAGGCAAGGTGTCAGAAGTAACTGCTGTACTCCATTTGACCTGCACTTAAAATGTGGCACCATGCCACAATGTAGCCCGGTTATTTGATGAGGCTCAAATTCATCTAGCAATGGTAAGGGAAAGTGCCAAAACCAGTTCTGTGATGACAACAGTTTAGTGTTATATCTGTAAGCAGTTTGGTAATAGCAATGATTAGACTATTACCAAAAGAGACAATGATAAATTTCATCAGTTAAGAGCTCACATCATATAACATATAAAATATGAACTAGATAAACTAATATTTGCTTTAATTTATTTTTAATTTAGCATATCAGTTTTTATCAGTGTTATATATTTCAATGAATAAACAATCAATCAACACAATCAAACAATAAATCCAAAAACATTTATTAAGTGCCTACTGTGCTAAGTACCATTTTGACTTTATATGCCCAAAATATGTATATAGATGCACCAGAAAAGATAACAAATATAATAGTTAATAAGCTAGGATAACTGAGGACTCACCCCTTCAAATAGTGGCATGCTTTGAGGACGTGGTTCTCTAAAAGGGTAGTCCTCTGCATATATATTCCTAATAACAATCTTGAAAAAAAAGAAGTTCTAGTTTTAGACTACAGAATTCCTCCCAGAGATCACTGAACTCTTTTATGATAGTACTTCATCCACAGTAAAAGGGCAACTTTAAATCTAAGAGTATCTCTCACACAAAAACCTCAACATGGTAGGTTTTCCAAATATCAAAGTCTTTACCAATATAAAGATTACAGCCCTGCCTTCTTTGATATTTTAGATTAAATCTTCCCATTGAGTTTGTGAGCTCAAATCATTCACAAAGAGAAAAGCTATTATCATTAAAAAAAGAAAAGAAAAAGAAAAAGTGCACACCAATTCAGGCAGAAGTAAAAAGAAAAAAAATACCTGAACACAATGCAATGTGAATAAACTTTACTTTGAAAAACCCTTGATGATAATGATGATGATGATGATGTGACACACATTATGCCAAGATGGGTTTTTCAATGACTCTTGATTCACAATAGAGAAAATGGGAAAGTCAAAATAGCCCTAACAATTTTTGATTTTATTCTCCTTATGCTGTTAAGTGAAAATTATAAGAATTGTCAAGATAGTTGTTAGGGGGATTAGTGTTATCTAGCATATCAGTTTACATCCATAATGGCAGTCCATATGTAGGGGGGGAAAAAACCACTTCTTGCTTTCTTGCTAGTATAGCACATTACTACTTTTTTCAGAGCACTTTCCCATTTATTTATTTTCTCATTTGATGTGTAATGTTGGATGTGGGGAGGGAGTACCATTACACTTGAGATTAGTCAAACTGGCAATACATTTAGTGAACCTGGGTATAATAACAATAATTCAGATTCATATAGTACTTTAAGGTTTGCGAGTACTTTCCTCACAACAATTTTGTGAAGTAGATAGTGCAAGCATTATTATCCCCATTTTACTCTAGAGGAAATTGAGTCTATCAGACATGAAGTGATTTGCTCAGGGTCACATAACTAGAGTTTGAAATGGAATTCAAGGCCAGATCTTCCAATCACAAATTCAGCATTCATTCTTCTACACTATGGTGCTTCTCCAATTAACATAATTGAATCAAGTTCTATTTCAATAGTATTAAACATCTGATAGTATGACCCTGATCAAAACTTGCACTGGCTCTCTAATACCTAGATAATAAAATCCTATCTCTTTAATTTGGCATTCCAGATGGAATGACCTACTTATCTTTATCCTAGACTCATTTTCTCACTGCTTAACCACAGATTCCATAACAGGCTGGCCCCAAGGAAAGGTAATAAAATGATCTCTGGAACTATGGCTCCCCACTCAACATAATGTCAGCGTTTTGGTCATCCCAGCTCTGACCATTGTACATTGGTTCTTTCTGCACTTCTGCCTTATTTCTAACAAGTAAGCCCTGGTCATGTGCCCCAGTTTCAGTAATTGGGTTTCTGTATTATTTTTCCATGTCCAAGTTCTTCCTTGTTTCTTACAAGTAAATTTTGTGTAGTATTTCTAAATAGATTGGTTTTGACTTCATCAGTTGTTTTATTCTTCTAAGTCCTTTTTCAAATAAAGTACTATATGGTTTAATAGCAACTATAGTTAATGGTAGGGATGGGCTGAAAGTATATATTCATGTCTGTACACATAGGAGGGTGCATATAGGGGTAGGGAAGGGTGGGAGCAGTAGAGAAAGATCTTATTAACCCTAGCCAAAGTGATACAAAATCTATCTCTCCTGAGTTAATGATATGATGAACTCATCTCTATTTCCTTCTCCTTGTGAGAAGTTAGAAACGGTTATATTTCCATGAGAGGAAAGTAGTTCCGGGTAAGGAGCTTCAAGAATCAGATAAAACTGGGTGAAACTGGTGGTGTGGTTGGGGAGGCAGAAAATAGGACCAAGGTTCAGTTTTACTTAGAGTGCTCATGCTTCTCCCCCTCTGGGCAGGGTTAAGACACCATTTTCTGAACAAACCATGTATGAAGAAGGGGAACATTTGGTGGGCCTCTGGGGCAATCTGTGGCCTGTGATGACTTCTACCAGTGAAAGTCAGCTAGGAGGGACCTGTGGCCCAGAATAGGGATATAAGGATTGCCCTCACTTCTGTAATGTGCCACAACTGCTTCCTGTAGGAAGCTTATTAAAGGTTTCAATTGCTTCATTCATCCTGAGTCTGTCTAACTTAACTGTGTCTATTTGGGCACCAGAGGTTATTTCCAACATCTTTTTTCCTCCCTCTTTCTCCTTCCTTTCTTTTGTATTCTTATGATATGCCTATACAAACAGACACACACACACACACACACACACACACAGACACACACACATACACAAATGCTTTTGTTTTTATAGTCAAACTATTTTCTATAAAACAAATCAATTCTGACAACCTTTTATGCTTGATGTTGTTTAGAGCCTAGATATCTTAATCCTGACCTAGCTTCAATAAAGTTAAATCAGCATCCTTCATAGTTCAAGCATACTCACAATGTACCAGTTCTCAGGCACACTGTCAAACCACTACAAGCTAGATAATCAGATTCTGAATTTCAGCTATAGAGACTTAGAATTATAATCACTTAACTTCTCTGGGTCTGTTCATCCTGTAAAATGGGATTATTATTCCTGATAAGCAAGTCCTGTCCATGTGTCTCAGTTCCAGTAACTGGGTCCCTGTATCACTCATCCATGCCTATGTCCCTTCCTTGGTTTCCTGTAAGTAGACTTTCTGTAGTATTTCTGAATCAGTTACTACTTGTAGGGAAAGCCCTTTGTAGTGCTATTTCAGTTGTTAATATTGTCAAACTTTTTTATGATGAAGATGGACTTATTAAGGTGTGTTGTGCACAGTGGCACATAGATGGTGGTTTGTGCTTTGCTGCTTGCTCACTGGAGCTCTTAAGTAGCTGAATTGTAAAGTAGGTTTCTTGCAAGACTGAATACTCCCTGTCAAATTCAGCTGATTCTAATTAAACTCATCTGAATGTACCCTGCCCCACACTCACATCCTAAAGTGTACCCACATTCTAGTTCACTGGACTCCTCAGAATACTAGATTCTTGAAATATTCTTTGAGGTCTACCTTGTGGGACAGCCTTAGAGAGCCTTTTGGTACTTTAGCAGCTGAATACTTTTGGATGAGTTTTAATCATTCAACAAGGTAGTTGTATATTTACCAGAGACTCTTAAATATTAAAAAGCCTTCAAGACCCAAAGGAAAGCATCTTTATTCATGAAATTTCAGGAGATGGTAGATTAATATTTCTTGGTATGCAGACTTCCTGATACCACAAAAATGACAATGTTTAGGCTACCACACTGATTTCTTGGGTACTCTATCCTACATCTTATATTAGTATCCTATATTTCCTGTCATATACTATGTATTAAAGGTTTATTGTAATGATTGGGCAACACCAGTTAAATCTGCAAATAATCAAATAACAAATGCTTACTAAAATCCATTCACATATTCCTTTGTAAGGTTTTTAGGAAGATTGTTGCCATGGCAGATCACTTTAAATAAAGACTAAGTCAAACTAAATTATAAAGATTAAATAAACTAGTAGGATTATTGATCTCCATTTACCTCATTCTCTTCATCTGTTTCATTCTCACCTACCCCTGACTTGTACTTTTTCTTTCTCTCATCCTTGTCTTTATCTTCTTCTAAGCTAATATATGCTTCAATCTCATATTTTTTTAGCACATCTAGAAAAGAATTAAGAAACAATTACCCGATTATGGTTGCAGTAGTAGCATATCATATAGCAGCTGTAAGAAGCACTGTCATGTAATAGAAAGTACAATGGGCCCACAGTCAGAAGCCTGACAACTTCACATCTATGTAACTGCAGACAAGTCTCTGACTTTACACAGTGTGTTTAGGAATTAAAGAAAGGACTTACGTGGATGGGAGTCTGTGTTTGTGAACATACACATGTGCATATATGCATGTGTATATATACAATACATATATGTGTATCCACAAGTATACAGTATATATACACATGCATGTAGACAATGTGTGTATATATGTACATCTGTATGTATACATATATATGCATGTGTATGGAGATACATATTTTTATATATATATATATATATATACACACACACACACACATTTTCTTAGTAATTCTTATATATGCTGTGAAATGATCAATAGATAACTGGGAATATGTCATTTTTGTTTTTGTATGCACAGTACATCCTTACTCACAGTAGACACTGAAGGAATGTTAACTGAATAGGATGATTTTCAAAAACATTATTGACTGTTGGTGTTTAAAGGCAGGGAGCATACCTAATTTTTATGGTGCCCAGCATGGTGTCATGTAATAGTCATTTAGCATACTATTTTTAATAACATAGATGGAAAAGGAGGTGGGAAGACATGGGGAAGGGGTATTATAAAGAAGTACACAAAGGAATGGAGATGTAAGTGGCTATGATTACTTATATTTATATAAATCTTGTTATATATATGTATTCACATATATACATATATACACAAATGTATGTGTACATATACATACATATAGACAGACACAGACAGATAATTAGATAAATAGATAGACAGACAGATAGTCCTTCACTTATAACCTTAAATCATTCCTTGCAGAACCTGGGACTATTTTGATTCAGTCTTATGTTAAAAACAAACAAACAAACCTTAAAATACAAAAAAAAAAGACCCTACTCATTTCTGATTGTCAAATTCCTAACTGATCTGACAGCGCTGCTTCTTCAGCTGTCCAAAAAATTCTAAGCTGTATTTCAGCTTTAAAATTAGTCCTTCAATCTCATCTTTTTTTAAGCACATCTAGAAAAGAATTAATAAACAATTAGCCGATTATTGTTGCAGCAGTAGCATATCATATAGCTCATTCTGCTTACAATTTCTGCTTGCCTAATTTTAGACTAAACCCAATAACTATTTTGGTATCCTGCTGTCTTTCACTCTATATAGATATTCAGACAAATAGAGTTTGTAGTAGCATTGTTTGAAAACTGACAGACTATGAATTCATAGAGTATGAAATCTTATTGTTACTGATCTTGATTCTATTTAATGAAGCCAATTCCACATCACCCAAGCAATAATAAGGCTTAGGGGCTATCACAGAAATTCTTACTTAAAGGTTCTACTAATTCAAGGAGGGCATTTTGAGAGTGTCATTAAGGACCTCTAAACCTATAATACTACTTTGCAAAAAAGTACTTTAGTTAAAATCTCTAAATGTATTAATGTAACCTATTTGTTAAAGGTTTTTGAAGATTACTCACTCTTATGACTCTAGGCCAAATATGCCAAGTGAAAAAAACCAAAGGGAAGTGTCATGAAACTGCTTTAAATATGTTTTAATGTTTTATTTAATTGTTTTGTTTTAAAAGTTTTGTTCTATTATAGCTTGAATTTTTAATTGGAGAAAATTGTTTATGTACATCCACCAAACCAGAAACCATTAGCTTCAGTATAAGAAAGCACATCAGTAGAGACACCCAGAAATTCACAGGAGAAAGAATCTGAAAGAAAGGAGCAAGTTATGACTCATGTTTTTAGATATCTATATGCATATGCATAAAGTATGGCTAAAAAGCAAGATTAATGAGAAATTCTAATTCAAGGAGAGAAATTTAACCTTATGAGTAGCATTGAAACTTGTCATGAGAATCATAACTGCAATATGGTTATAAAAAGCTATGTATAATTCCAAAGAAACTCTTTTTCTCCATCATAATCCTTGAAAAAGCTGACTGCGTTCACTGCCTCTACTTTCTCTCTTCTCACTTCCCCCTTCAGCCCTTTGCAGTCTGCTTCCTCATCTCAGAATTCAACAGAAACTGCTCTTTCCAAAGTCACCAGTGATCTCTTTTCTCAGTCTTAATTTTTCTTGACCTATCTACTGCATTTGACACTGCTAACTACCCTCTCCATTAGGGCAAACCTGACCATGTGACTCCCCCAAGTCAATGAATTCCAGTGGTTTCCTATTGTCTCTAGGATAAAATATAAATTCCTTTGTTTAGCTTTTAAAAACCCTACGTAGTTTGGCCCAAACCATGGCTTTCTTCTCACTGGATGTTTTCATGAAAAATCTGTCAGATATGTAGAATACTTAGGAATTCTTTCTCACGCATGGGTTGTACTTTTTAATTCCTTTCCAACTCTTCATTGATTCTGTGACTAGGATGTGGTAGGCTTGGGCTGGATGGAGATGAAAGTATGGGGAGAAGGAGCTGGAAAAAGTTGTTTTCATTTCAGGAGGCAACACCTCTGGATTAGAGAGATCACAGCAGCTTAATGGGTGAATTTGCTTCCCACAGGACGTAGGAAGTTAGTTGAGACCCCCACCCTCCAAGGCCCTGTGATAATGAAGTGCTATATTGAAGACAGTGTTTGCTCTCAAAATAGAAAAGTTATGGGTGGAAATAACACACAGTTTGGAACAGAAGACTAGATCCTCAGGGACCAGACAACTTGCATTTGGTGCCAGCTTTGCAACTATGTCACAGGATGGAAAGAGATTAGGAATACACGGAAGATACTACAAAATTAACTTGGTTTTGTGCCAGGTCTCATGTCCAAGGTCCTGACACTTTTGAAACTGGCAATGACCTAAGGACCCAATTAAGATAACACTAGGCCTTTGAGACATAAGTCTTCCTATCTCTAGGCGTAGAGTCTGAGCAGCAGTCCAGCAATTCTGTCCACACTATGTTGAGTGCCAGAGCTGGAGAGTCTAATATGGGATAAGGAATTTAGGTCAGAGCTTGACTCTTTCCTTTTCCTATCCTTAAGGGCTCACTTATTCAGAATATTTGGTTCACCAATTTCCCGTGCCTGGGAGGTGTTAGAACACTCTGCCCCTTGAACCTTGATGGCAAGCAGGTATGAACAATTAAGGATGCATGTAAGGGCCGGGATTAGTCGCATAAGAATCATGAGAACACCTCGGGGATGATTGTTAGCTTTCACTATATAAACCGGACCCTCAGAATAATAAATGGCTCAGTCCTTCACTGACCTGCCTGGCCCACGTTTCTTCACTGCACACTCCTCCATTTGTTGCAACACTTAGTCATGGGAGACAACACTAGACTTCTTACTGTTCCTCAAAGTTAACATTCCATCTCCTACTTCTGTGTCTGTACTTAGGCTGTCCCTCATGACTAGATTGCACTGACACCTGGTCTCTGCCTTTCAGAATCCTAATCATCTTTCAATACCCAGCTCTAGTTCCCACTGAAGCCTTACCTGATCCCCTAGTTATTCGTGACCTTTCTCTTTTCAAATTGCCTTTATTTATGTATGTTATGTATGCAGTTTGTATCCCTAAATAAAATGAGAGCTCCTTGATTATAGGCACTATTTTATTTTTGTCTTTGTATTCAATCTGACCCATTATTTATTCTAGCATTTCATTTCCACTCATGCTGTTATTCTTCTTACCAAATTAACTACACTTTAAAGGGAGAAAGAGTACAAGGCAAGCTGCTACTCTTGGGAAACTGTCTCTGCTCTAGTCATGCTCCACTTACCACATTCACAGTACCTCCTTGTACCCTTCCCTTTTGTCTACTCACTGGAGAGCACTTCAGGAAACACAAATATTTTTTCCCATGGCATTTTGCTTGCCTTTCACCTACCTAGAAGCCTTATCCTCTACAACTTTTCAATAGATTAATTAAACAATATAGCTAGTTTGCTAGTATCTCAAGTTTGATTTCATAAAGTCACTGAGCAGTGTATTAAATTAGATGACTCCTAAGATATATTTATCTATTTCTCCTTTTATTTGATTATTCAAAACAGTTAGGTTTCCCATCAAAACTTTAATCTCATGTTCTTTATATTCCATTTATCATTTACTATAATAGACAAAACTTCTGCTTTCAAATTCAAAACTAAATAAGAAAGCTTATGCCTTGAATTCTGGTTTCAGGTTTTACCAGGATGATGATTTAAATATTATTCAATAATTTAAATATTTATAATATTATATTAAGTACTGAAGTATTACCAATAATGTACCTGAACTTGAGGATAATTCTACTGCTTCACGTAAAAAACTAAAGGAAACATGTCGAGGAAGAGTCATCTGAGGCAAACATGACAAAGTAAACAGGGATATCATTAGTATTTCACTTTTACCAACTTAGCATTATTCTATGACTGAAAGTTTTTAAAAATTCTATTAAGAAAAATCTCACATAAAGATGAAAAAAATTCAACCAAAATTTAACTGCTCTGACAGGTGCCACCATACTAGAGCAGAATACTAAGTTAGGAGGGTATTGTCAGAGAAAGTTAGGCAGAGAAGAAATGATACTGCCTTTTAGATTAAGACATATAACCATTCTCCAAAGCCTAGAAAAGAATTTAACTGAAAGAGGAAAAAAAAAAAAGGAATGGCATCATGGAAAACATTTATCATAATAGAACTCTGAACCACGAAAAAATGAATAAGGCCATTCTACCAGAACAGCTTTAGGTCACATCTGGTAGCACTGCCAAGATTTTAAACTTCCATTCATCATATCAACTTTTCTACAAATAGCTCCATTTATATAATGTTTTAAGTCTTACAAAGTGTTTTCCTCACAATAATCCTGCGAAACAAAATTGCTTGCCTTCTCAAGGAGGTGAAGGTGTGGGAGAGAGGGAAAGAAATTGGAACTCAAAATTTTTAAAAATGATTGTTTAAAAAACTTTTTAACTTATCTTCCATTTATCATACCAGTTTAACATCTCTTTCATTCATCATACCAATGTAAGCCATTAGTGTACCAAAGTGTTGATCAAATTGCTGGACTTATATCAGCTATGGCCTTTGATGTTTTGATATCTTTTCCAAGAATATTTTTTGAAAATAAAACCCTAAAATTTAAATTCTCAATACTGATCAATTAGCTGCTAATTGACAAGTCATGGAAATTTATTGACTCTTTCCAAAGGTCACTGCTTTAAGTATTTTTAATGACTCCTCTTTGCAACAGTTGCCAGGTTCAGGCCCTTTTGTAGCCTCTTTAAACAACTCTTGGTAAAACCAGACCACTTAGACACAGAATGGGAATAGCTTTTGCAACAACTAATTAAGGGAAGAAAATTTCTGGGTCAACTAACCTTTTGACTATGTCAGTAAGGTAATGACCAAAGAAGAGTGAAGGTGCCTGGCTTCACCCCCAAGTGGATAAAAAAAACATACCTAAGTGCCTGAATTGAGGATGGAAGCTAGCAAAGATAAATAAGGTAACAGGCAATGAATACCTCTAGGCAAGGTGCTACTTCAGGAAAGAGTACACATAAGCAGCACATGCATATAAAAGAACACCAAATTTTGCTGTTTTTTACTTCATGATATCTCTTGAAATCAACAATTTCTCTTTACTCACATAGTTACCACCTTAGTTCAAGCCCCCATCATCTCATCTAGGTTAATTCAATAGCCTCCTAATTGGGTTTCTCTAGCCTCAAGTCTCTCAACATTCTAGTTTTTATTCAAGTAAAAGTTTTTAAAATACCTAAAATACACTCACTGAATCATCATATTTAGTTTTAAAATATCCAACATGACAATTTAAACCCACTTTTTATGTTGTTTAGAACAATGAGACTATTCAGGAAGTTTGCTTTCACTTTATAGGCTTAAATTTTCAAGACTAAAAATTTGGAGGTTCATTTTCTTCTGAGCATTTTTAAAAATTAAAACTGCTAAAATTAACTCCCCTCATTCACAGAAAATTCTGTACTATACTATATACTAACCATCATGCAGGAAATAGGCTGGAAATGCAAACCATGAGATATGGAGCAGTTTGAGATTCCTAGCTCCAAAGATCTACTTGAATCAAATACTTTACTTATAAACAAAGAAACTTTCATTTATAATCTTAGAATTTAGACTTTGCAGGTCTGGAAGCCAAGTTGAGAAGGGAAAGTAATGTATGTGAAACTAGAATGAATGACATTGAATAATTCCACCTCTTGTACATTGACATTAAGCCAATTGTACTCTTCTGCTTGCCACAGCATCTATTATATGTTGGGTCTTATTCTGCTGTTTGTCTTGTGGGCTCCCTCAATGTGGGAGTCATCTATAGCAATTCCCCCAAAACTTAATCATTATTGGCAGCCCTCCCCCCCTCCAGTGAGTAAGTTTCTGTGCCATGCATTTACCCGCAATGCCCTCATCTCTACCCTTCTTAGAGCGCCATCTCCCCAGACTTTGGCAAACTGGCAAGACAAGCTTGAGCGAGGGCCTTCAGCCTGCTGGACCCAGTACTCTGACCACAAAATGCAAGTGTTACAGGTGGCCGAGATTCTTCTGTCTCCTCTTCTCTCTCAGGAGAGGCCATCAAGTCCACCCTCTCAGTTTAAGAGATGACGAAGCTCAAGCCGCAGGAAAGACTTGCTCAAGGTGACACAGTAATTTGCTTTCCATGGCATCACACTGTCCCTACGGCTGCCTGTCTTACTAGTTCAAATAAAGATGGAAAGCGTTAAGCAAAATATTTGCTATTTTGGGTAGGTTCTATACTGGTTCAGGTCTACAGTCTCATTCACACCTCATTCTCATTACAAACTATAAGCCGCACCCACTTAAGATACAGAGGCAGTGAGTACTTCCAACAAAATGGCACCTACTTGGAACCCAAAGCTTTACAAACAAATGTTAGAAATTGTTTTCACATGCCACTGGGAAATAAGATATACAGGCAATGGGGTAGAGAAATCTATCCTGCCCTCCAGGAAAGTAGAAGGGGAAGGAGACAAGAGAAGGGGGCATTGATAGGAGGGAGAGCGGATTAGGGGAAGGAGTGCTCAGAATGCATGCTGTCTTGGAGTGAAAGGAGGGGAGAGATGAGGAGAAAATTTGGAACTTAAAATCTTGTGGAAATGCATGTTGAAAAGTAAAATAAATTAATTTAAAATTAAAAAAACACAAGAAAATTGTTAAAACACCTCTAGTTTCTGGGCTTCTCTACACATCCCTAACTTTCCCCCTTTAGTTGAATTTAGTTGAATTTACAATTTTCAAGAAACAAACTGTTTTAACTGATCAGACCACTTTGCCGTTGTTTCAACTGTTTTTGGTAAGATTAGAGGTAGGATCAGAATGTCAGAATCTAAAAAATATATATGCCTAAGAGAGTATGACTGTTTTCCGATTCTTTTTAATTTAAGGGTTTGCTGTTGATGTTGCTGTTTTATTAAATGGCTATTTTGGTTAAATGGTTGTGCCACATTAATGTGAACATAGATACCTTTGTGACTGCTTCAGCGTCTTCTCTTGGTTCCCGAAGAAGTTCTAAGCTCCTTCTGCTTTCTTGCCTTAAAGTTTGCCTTTTTGTTTCTACTCCAGATTCATCTGTGCTTTTCTTTCTTTTTTCTGGGCTTAAAATGAAACTTTTCAACTTTGTTTCTGATTGAATTAAGTCCATTCTCTCTGGGCCTGAATGGCTCTGTTTTGGCTTTACTTCCAGTGAAGTTGAATCTGTGATTTCTTTTTCTAATGCTTCTTTGGGTTCAGGGTTTTCAAATACTAGTTGATCATCTATAGCTTCTACACCAATATCTTTCTCTTTTAATGAAACAGGAGATAAAGGGGTACTTTCCTCAGGAGGAAGGCTTTCATTTTTTGTTTCAGCATCTTCTTGAATATTCAAAGATGAATCTGGAGGCTCCGCTTTCATTTCTACCCTTGGCAGGCTCTTCTTAACTTCAAGTGTTTTGACAGGTAACTAGGAAGAATTGAACAAAACTACTTAATACTCATTGCTAATTAGTAAATATCAAAATTAACATTATTCATATCCTTTAACATAAGCAAATAACCCTATTATTAAATATTTGTAATTATTGTGTTGAATGTGAAGGATCAGTTGCATAAAGCCATAAGATGACTATTCTCTGTTAGCCTGAGATCCATCTGCCCTCTCCCCAAAAGAGGGATTATACTACTTTATATAACTTTGATTTTCATATAGGTTTCTATAGATTCTAAAGGATAAAACTTAATCAATTTCCTTGGCCAAGCATAGTACAGAAAAATAATTGTTGTCCTCCAATTTATGTAAATACTTTATGTACGAATGGATACCCTGAGATGTTCAATAGCCAAAGGAAGGCTTCACTCCTGCTAGTGTGACCATGATTCTATCTTCCTACTTCCCCTTATCCCTGCCAGGCCTCATCTCCAACGGCAACTCCTCCTTCCCTTCTCACTACTTTTGTATCAACCCTGGGAAGGCCTCCTCGGAAACATCCCATTCTACTCTTCTGAATTAGAGCACCACCCTCACTCCCCACCCCTCTGTGATGAAATGCCCAGGGTGGCCTGACTTGGTTTCACTTTCAATCTCACATAAATCTTATTTCTGTGCTTTGTGCACAACAAAGCAAAAGAGAAAATATATGTCTAAAGTGCTTTGCATATCTGAAAGCACTATATGAATACCAGCGGCTATTAGCACCTCTGTGAGGCTCTGCAGTCTTTCCTTAGAGGATCTAAATGAAAGGGAATACAGGGGCTGGGTGAAGAGCTAGGGAAAAGCCTTTCTATCCCATTTCCCTAATCTTACTAGCAATAAAAACCTTAAAAAAAACCCTCAAAAATGTTGTGTGCTTGGCTTCAGGGATAGTCAGGGGAGAAGCAGGGAGACTGTTTTGTTCTACAGTTGGACCTGGGAATAGAGTCACCCTGGTTGGAAGCAACAGGTGTTGGCGGTAGAAAAAGAAGCAGGCAAGCCTGGGAAGAAAAGAAAAGTGGTGGTGGGAAGTTGGCCTAGGACTTGGGTGAGGTTTTTTAGTAATGACACTCACTGCTGGGGTTGTGTCAGGCCCCTACAGTCCCTTACCCCCAAACCCTGTAATGCTCTCCACCCCCAGGACGCTTTTCATGCCTCACTCTACCCACCCCTTCCCCCACTCCCCATCCCCAAAGTGTGGAGTCCCTGTCCGAGGCCATGGTCTACAGCTGAGGGAAGGAGGGGGTGGGTGGGGAGCGTAGCAGAGGCTAAACTACAAGGATTCCCTGTAGAAGTGGATGAGGAGGGGATAAGGCTCCTGGATCCCACTTTGGAGCGTTTCTTGACAGATGCCTTGTTACATATAGTGATTGGTTAGATTAGTGAAATACGGTACTTCAAGTACATCATGGATTAATATAGATCCTTATGGCTGGCCTGAGAATCGAATCACTATGCGTAAATTGTTTCTATAGAGAAATGTTATTCCAGTTTGAATAACCAAATGACAAATGGAACATAACCCTCCAAAGTATTTTAGTCTTTGTCAGGTTGGGGGGAATATCTTGCTTTGTGAAATATAGTTTAACAGACTTGGCTGTTAAGTAAAAATTCTGACAAACGAATCCTATTTTTCTGTTGATTTTCCTTATAAAATTAGAATACTGTTTTTGTGGGAAAAATCCTCCAATAAATTACAATGAAAACTTTTGCTGAAGAAGAAGCTGAGAGATTGGCTAGTTCCACGGCACGCACTCAATGTGTACTTAGAAAGAACTCCACAGTGTATTTCTGAACTACTTCCCTTTCTTATCTTTTTAATGACCCGATTTCAAACCATAACTCTCCCAAATATGAAGAATTTCAAAATCATAATTCAGTGGATACTACATGAAAATGTTTTTAATTCAAGATTTTTGGTTCTAGAAAATGAATATGCTATATTTTAATTAATTTTGAAATCTGAAATTCTATAAAAGATGTTTTGCAATTAAAAGATCCTTGTATAATAGAGTACTACATCAGTGCAGACTTTCCATAGAAATATGCAAGAATAAGTTTTAATTATTTACATGATACAATTTGTTTGTATCACAGTTGTAAAACTAGGAGTCTGAACCTAATTACCTAACCTCAATAAACTTTCTTTAGATATTATGGCTCTAGTTGTCCCTTTATTTCCTTAGTCACTTAGGATATAGACCTAAGAGCCTATTTATTAACAATTTCTTCTTTCTCCCTTCCCTAATTTTTTTTTCTTTCTTGCTATCTCTTTTCTGTCTCTCTGTTTCCATCTCTCTGTTTGAAAGTCTAGCTTTTCCACATATAACCTCACTTTTTGGAGGTTGCCTTTTCAAAGACACAATGATCTAGTGATCTTGCCTATTGCAGTGATATATAACTTCACTTTAAAAAATTTTTAGCATCTACCCTTTCATATCTATTATCTTCTGGTTAAGGATCAGCACCACTTATTTGACAGAGTATTCTCAAACCTTCATAATGATGAAGATATTGTATACAAAGAAAATAAATGAGGGCTATGTTTGACTTGGTCCAAACCATACAAATATACCCAACTCTATAAAATGTGAGGTTTGTCTTTATAATACTTATACTTCTCATGATTGGAATGTTATTGTTTTTACATTTACACACATATTTGGGAGTACCTAGAGTTAAGTTCATGACTGTTTTCAGTCCTGTAAGAGAGCTACCTAGAAGATGCTAAAGTTGCTATTATAATGGGGTCTAAAAAAAAAAGAAGCAATAGAAAGGGATCGCGTAAGCATTTCCAGGTTGCTTTCCAGAACCCTGGATATGTGTTTGATAAGGACTCCATAAAACTTTTAGTGGCTTATCCTGAGAATCCCACCTTCGAATCTCTTTTTTTCTACGGTTTGAGAACAGAAGTCCTACTCTAAACTGTTCCATGTCACCACTGTAGCACATTTAATTGTACAGACGTTCTCACTAAAAACATCACTATATTTATTGTATAAAAGGTTAGTGATACCTTTTTGGATATTTCCCCCTTTCCATTCATAAACACTTTATTCTTTTGTTTTGTTTTTTTTAAGTGATTTTTATTAGAGCAATTACCCTTTACCTCAAATTGAAGAATTTTATCTTCTTGCTTTTTAAATGGTAATTCTGCCAAGAAAAGAATAGAAACATTTTACTCTATAACAGCCAACAATACCAATTACACCTATACTGAAAAAGTATTTAAAATTTTTTTTTGCTAAATGTTCAAGGCAGCAAATACAATGATCTTGAAACTGCCCAAATTAGCCAAGTAAATCTCTGGATTGATGGGAAATCTTAAAAAAGAAGTAAAGATATAGAGTAAACATATACATAGTAACCAGATTTCACATAAGCCCATATAAGACAAAGAGATAAGTAATGTATCTTTTGCTCCAAATCAAGAGGAAAGGGAACTGTCAGTGTCAGGATTACTATCATCCAGGAAAGGTAGATGGAAACAAAGAGATGATAGAGAAGAGAGGTTCATTTAGGAGATGCTAATGAATCCGGTACTAAATATCATGAATACATGTAATGAACATATGGTTTAATAAGTAAATATACTTTTAAAAATTATTTTTGGAGAAAGAAGAACATTTGAGAAGGTGAGAAAAAATGTGAAGGATTGAAGGAAGAAGGACAAAAGTAGTCCCATTGAGGGGCAAATATATATCAATAAGGAACATTTTGTGAGGAACAGAGATACAATATAGTGATAGAGTGATCTTAAAATCATTTTCTTCTTTTACTGTTATCCAAATCAGGCAGGCGAATAGCTGCTGGAGGGTGAACACACCTGCCCGCTATATGCCAGCAGGTTCTCGGTAACTTGCATCACTGTTGAAAAGTACATTGTGTGTTTATGTCATAGTTAAACAATTTGAAGATATGGCTGTCTTCAGGATTCTTTTCTTTAAAAAAAAAAAAGAAGACTATCTCTTTTCTTGAGTCCCTTGCCCCTTCATCCTGTTGCCACTCTTGCCTTACTGAGCCTCAGCCTTGGATAACTTCCATCATACATTGCTTTTGTTCCTACTGACATGTTGCTGAACAAAGCTGGAGAAAATAAAATTACTGACTGGGTCCACTACTACCCACAAAATACATGCATGTATCCCCTCATTCTCAAAAAATCATCACTTGATCTGTCTGTCCCCACTAGTTATTGTCCCATCTCTTTTCCCTATTGTGGCTAAATTCCTTTAGAAGGCCGTTTATAATCTATGCCTTGACTTCATTCTTCTTAGACTACTCTGAACTATCTGTCTGATTTCCAACATCATCATTCAACCAAAACTGCTCTCTCTAAAATTAACAGTGATCTTTAAATTGCCAATCTAATAGCCTTTTCTCAGTCTTCATCCTTCTTGACCTCTTTGCAGCTTTTGACACCATAGATCATCCTCTTCTTTACCTTCTTAACATCTCTTCTCTGACACTGCTACTCCCAGTGCAGGCCCTCATCACCTGGATTATTGTAATATCTTTCTGGTTGGTTTCCCTGTGGCAAGGATCTTCCCACTCCAGTCTATCTGTTATTAAATTGATCGTTCTAAAGTGCAAGTATGACCATATGACCCCCTTATTCAAATCAACTCCAGTGACAGCCTATCAGGCCTCCAGGATCAAATCTAAAGTCCTCTGGTATCCAAAGTTCTTCATAACCTTGCTCCCTCCTACCTTTTCCAGTCTTCATATACTTTATTACCCTCCACATACTGTATGACCCACAGTGACACTGGACTCCTTGCTATTCCTTATATAAGACACTTCATCTTCCAATGTCTTGCATTTTCACTAACTATCCCCTATGCCTGGAATTCTCCTCCTCATCTCCTGCCTCCTGGTTTCTCTGGTTTGCATCAAATCTCATCTAAAAGATCATCTTTCATAAGAAGCCTTTCCCAGTCCCCCTTATGTTAGTGCCTTCCCTTTGTTAAATATCTCTGTTTTATCCTGTATGTATCTTACTTGTACATAATTTGCATTTCCCATTAGACTGTGAGCTCCTTGAGAGTAAGAATTGTCTTTGGACTTCCTTTGTATAATCAAAACTTAGAACAGTGCCTAATACGTAGTAGATACTTAGTAAATGCTTGATTTTACATGACTTATTATTTTTTGATCCTACAAACTGGGAGTAGGACAATTGTGTTAGCAAAGAGAACTAGAAACAAATCACTATTCTCAAAGAGATAGCTATGCTAGGTTATCATTTATTAACTACTTTTTTTATATCATAGGATGTAAAATAATTGCCGGAACAGAATACCAAAAGAGCCCAGAAACTGTCTCAATCAGCAAACAACTGATCTCTTTAACTAGTAGAGAAACATGGCAACCAACAGTAATACCAGCTTCTTTGTGCAGAGTATAAATACAGCAATGGAATTTTTTTTTTTAATGTACCTTTTTAAACTTGAAGACAGAATGGCAGAAGGATCAGTGAAAATTGGGAGGGGGGATGGAATTCCAGCAAATTACTCAACTGTCATCAATGAAGAAAATAGATTACGATATATTTATTGTTTGAATTATGTCATTTTCCATCTGCTTCATATTTATCTTTGTGACTGCCGGTGTGTATTTCTGGATTTGAGCAAAACAATGGGATCATTACAAGATTAAAATCATCTTTAACTCTTCCCTTTTCCTTACCCCACCCATGGAATCAAGTGCCAACTCCTATCAAATTTACTGCAACAATGTCCACTACAATAGTGAAACAATATTTCCCTCCAAATCCAACCTGCAAAATGTATCTGTCCTTTGCTCTCCAATCACAATGGCTCCTCATTTTTCTCCAACACTATTTTTATAGGCTCTTTTTCAAAAAGACCATCTTTTTACTCTCTCTAATAAATACTTTACATAGCTACTATATTAATCTGTTAAGATACAGGTCTCATCAGCTGACTCTTCTACTCAAACATCTTTATTAGCTTTTCATTGTCAGCTTAAATAACAACAACCACCAAACTCCTCTACTTGGTCTTCTATACTTTCTGCACTCTGGGACTAATTTCCCTTTTCAGCTGTATTTCATACTATTCATCCTTTATGCAATCTATAATCCAACAAAATTGGACAACTTCTCTCAATCTTCCCCTGCTGGCACACTTTTGTGCAGGTTGTGCCCTATGGCAGGAAAACATTTTCTATCTATCTTTTTGTACTAATATTCTTTCTCTGCTTCAAGACCAAGTTCAGGTGTCATGTCCTTCATGAAGCTTAGACTGATCTCCCTACATAGTGATCTTTCTTTCCTAATTTTTATAGCACATTGTCTACATTTCTCCTCTGTTCTTGATAGTTTATGTTTTATCATACTCATCTAGGCACATGTTATATCTCTCCAATTAAATTACAAGCTCCTTGAGGCCAGGGACTATATAAGTTTTAAATTGTTGTACTCTGCCATCCCCAGCACTTTGCACAGTGCTGCACATAATAGGCACTTTGAAATGTCTATTGAATTTTGTTGAATTAAAATAATATTAAGTTTACTAAATTATTCTAGATATCTGAAAGGAATATCTATATCTAATTTCCTTTTCAAGGTGCATTTTACATTTAATGCACTTTAAAATTTCCATGAATCTGCAATCTCATTGACGTGTATGTATTCCTTCCACACTAACCACACACTATCCTTGCCTTCCTACTTTGTCTAGGTTTTCTTGCGTTCTTTACAGCAGAAGTATCCAACATCTTAGAAACCTTCCTAGGTATATTTTTACATTGGTACAAGTTTGCTGCTCATCATGCTTGTATTCATCATGCTTGCCACATAACTAGCCTACCTCTTCCAATCATACATTTTTTTCAGTGATATCCACTGCAACACTTCCTCTGCATAAGTCATCATTGGAAATAGGCTGTTTCCTATATTACTTTGTGTCTCACCACTGACATTTGGGTCACTCACAACTTTGATTCTTCAGAGACTGTGGTCCAAGATTTGAAACCAGGGGAAAACATTTATATATTTATTATTTAAAAGAGGAAATTGTTTTGTTTTGTTTTTTTCCAAGCAGAAGCTCAGGATCATTAAAAGTACTGTTCAATTTCCCAAATGTAAATGTCAGCCTTTTCCCTCCTTTCTATTCAATTCAAAATCCCATTAATTATCCATCTGCACTGCCTTTCCACAGACACACACATATGTGTGTAAACACAGTATATAGGTGTGTATATATGCTGATGAGCTAATACAATAGATTGACCATCAAACTTCATGGCATAGTTTGGAAAATAGGCATTTTTCATCCATTTAATTTTTCCAGTGCAGAGAGACCACTATTTGCATGCTGGCCAGAATGCAGTAAAGAAAGGTAACAAACAGCAAAAGACAGCAGTTTTGTAACTGACAGAAATGGGGCAGAACTTCTACTAGCCTCGCCCCAGATATCTGCATAGATCATAAAGACAAAATATTGAAAAAAGGTTGAAAGCAACCTTCCATCTCCTTTGTTGCATGCAGGTTCGGGTATGATAAAAACTAAAAATACCTCCTAATTATAACTCATACTAGAATTAAACTAAGAAGATCAGAGAAAAAGCAGAGAGGAGCAGAAGCAGGTCATATAGAGAATATCATAAACTTCATCTTCACATGGGAGCTTTGTTAGCTTTTGACTGTAGTTTGCCTGAGTAGCACATAGCTCCAGGAGATGCACTAAAACAGCATTAGCCCTTTTCTTCTGGAAGGAGGCTTACTGATTGCTCTATCTCCAGAAGATGACAGTGGAAAGCACAAGTTTGCCCTGAAGAGGATGAATAACTGAAGTGACCATGAGACCAGAAGAAACCCCTGGCATGCATGCAGCACAGATAATGCCACAGAGAATAGAGACGAGCCAGCAAGCTTCACCAAAGACCACCGGCAGCTGTGTAATATGTGAAGTATACTTTATACTGGTGATGTGTGCAGCCTGATTATATGTGCTTCTACATCCTACATGTATGCACCCGTCCCTGCATGCCTCTTAGTCATTCATATTCAATGTATGTCTTTCTGTACTAGTGATATGGTTACTTATGGGAGAGTGCATCACATGTGTACATGAGGGGATTTCTTTGTTGTCACTTAATTTGTTGTATAATGAAATGCCTTTTGCTTTAAATGAATGTGTCTTCTGGTTATTTGTAAAAACAGTGCCATTGATAGAGGCTAATTATTTGGGGATCTAAGTGGTCAATGGCCTACAAGAGGCCTTGAATCTGGGATAACTTTCTGTGGACTGACATACAGATGCTACATCTGTAGAGACAGGTAAATTTCTTTGGTGTAATGATGAATTTTTTTGGGAAAAAGCCTTGTAAAGGGATTTGAGATAATCAGTGCAGTATCCTCTTCAAAAAGGAGCACCTAGATGATATTACCATTTGTAGTGACTTCGTTTGAGGCATATTCCATGGCAAACATTTTTGGTGAGCACACATCTCTCTGCTTCAACTGATGTTCATCATCAGAAGATGACACATTCATTTGAGTTATGAAGGAATCTTATGTGACCTTAATATATGATTAAGAAACTTTAAAGCCTTTAAAGGTTGTTGTTTTGCTCTATTGAGCCAAATGCTTTTTTTTTTTTGCAGGCAACAAACAATAAAGATGTTGAGATCTTGTATTCACTGTACCTTTCAGTAACTGAGTAACTATAAAGGCATGGACTGCTGAAGAAAATAATTTATTACAGCCTTCCTTTGACTGCTAACATTTTCATCAAGGATCCTTTGAGATATGTATAGATCATTCTCATATATTATGAAGATAAGAAAATAGGCATACAGATCAGTAGCTACTGATGTTCTTGAAACCTAACCTTCATCCAACCTTTCCTACTTCTATCAAGGCTTACCACCACTCTTCCAATTCCCCCTGGTTTGTAGCATAGGCATTGTTAGAGGACCTTTATTATAAATTCACACCCGATATCTAATCAGGTGTCAAATCTTATTGATTCTACCTACCTGGCATCTCTCATATCTGACCTCTCCATTTACATCACAGCTCCTCTGATTTCAGACCTAAATGGCCACTTACTTGGACTACTGCAATAGTCTAATTGGTTTCCCTACATCTAGCCTCTCCCCCTCCAATCCCTCTTCCATACTACTCCCAAATTTATATTCCCTGAGTAGAGTTCTGACTATGTTGCTCTCCATTCAAGAAGCTTTGGTGGTTTCCTATTTGACCTAGGATAAAATGCAGACTAATCTATTTGACATTTATATTCTTTCACAATTTCACTTCAACTTGCCAATAAAACCTTAAATGGGGTCACAAAGAGTCAGACATGACTGAAAAACAGATCCAACAATAAATAGCAGTCCAGGGAGGCCAGTAGGCAGAGGTGAGGAGAGAGAACATAGAGGATAGCTAAAATAACCTAACCAAAGTCAAGAGATGGGGTGTCTTGGTGGTGGCATAGCCAGGAGGCCAGTGTTACTGGATTGAAGAATACATGTTGGAAAGGAAGGTGTAAGAGCACTGGAAAGGTCCAAGGGGGCTAGGTTATGAAGGACTTTAAATGCCAAACAGAGCATTTTGTATTTGATCCTGGGGGTGATAGGAGCCTCTGGAGTTTACAGAGTAGGGGGCAACATGGTCAAACTTTTGTTTTAGGAAAATCATTTGTTGTTGATGTTGTTCATCCTTTGCTCTCAAAGAGCACCATAGATCAGGAAGGTGATGCCATTACTTGCAAGTGAGTCAGATTTAAGTGAGGGAGGGCTGTGCAAAGTCTCCAGCCTCACCTTCTCCGGAGCCATCTAGGTCCAGTGGCCAGATGTAGATCAGGATGACTGGAGATGGCCCAGGAAAATCACTTTAGTGGCTAAAGGGAGGATAGATTGGAATGAAGAGAGATTTGAGGCAGGAAGCCCCATCAGCAGGCTGTTGTAATACTCCAGGCAAGAGAGACAAAAATAGAAAAATAGGCATATTCTCTTTTGCTTTCTTTCATACACCTCCCCCAGCCCCCCCTCCCACCCCCCACCCCCACAATAGTGGACCAAAGAACAACAGCCCACAAAACATACAATCCTTTGTGGCCTAGAGTTCATATGTCTAAACTTACTTCTTGGCCCTTAAAGACATTTTCCAACAGAGCTTCAAACATAAGGTCTAAAACTCATTCATTCTAGTATTTTCTCTTTAAGTTTTACAAATAAGGAGGGGTTCTACACAAAACTAGAATTTTTTATATATATGTATATATATATATATATATATACATATATATATATATATATATATGATCTCCTAACATAAGCATGAAAATCCATTTAAAGAAAGCATTAGCTTTTCTTTTTGCAAGACATCTGTCTTTATGTAAACTATTTAATAATAACTATAAAGAACCAAATGATTTTCTAGACCTGATAGCTGAAGGAAACTTGATGGGAGTGGAGTCTCACTCTTTGCAACTATGTCTTCATGGCTATCAGAAACCTGGAAGCAAAGAAAAGCAAACATTAGAGAAAATGGGAAACCTTGTCAATAAATGGATCTTAAAAACTCTGTCTCCATGATTTCTTCATCTTGTGGGGTGAGAAGGATACTTCCTTGAGAAAACCTGAGAGCAGTCCTGAGAACTTTCACACCCTGCAATTGATAGAGGCTTTCCATTAACAACATGCTACTAAGGCCTGATCCAAGGGCCTAGAGACCTCTCAAACCCCCTGCCACTGAGGATGGAATGAGTACAAGTTTCCCTCTAAATAATGACAGCAAAAACATGGCCCAGTCATGCAAGATTGCATTTAAGGTTATACATAATGCAGACTGAAAGGCTTTTTGTTCAGATAAGGTGTCTCTCATCCATACATCAAATTTATACAAGTTTCCGTGACAAAACCTCAGATATATCTTTGTTCAGATAAGTTTTCAGGCCAGATAAGTTTATATTATCCAGATTGCCCAAGTTGTACATATTTAGCCTTGAATATCCATAAGCAATTTAGTGAATGCTAAATTCTACAGAATGGAAAGAAAACAGAAAGAAAACATGGTATAAAAATCTGAAAATCATGTGAAATTATAATTCATGTCTGAAACAGTAAACTAATATATCCTTCTTAGTTACCTGAGAGTCGGGAAGTTCTTTTTTTTCTGTTTTCATGTGAAGAATTTTATCTAAATAATTAGATTTTTCTTCCCATGTTTTCAAATTTCTGTATTCTTTCTTCATTCTGTCAAGCCTAATGAAGGAATTAGTTGATTATATGTTTAATATATTGGTAAGGACATTCTTACAAAGGATTCTAGTGAGAAGGAGACATACAATAAGCTGGTTGTAAAAAAAGGGAAAGTACATTATTTCTATAGGATTACAGGATATTCAGGCACAGTTTAATTTAGGTCAATGGAATGGAATTAAGCAGGTTACAGGGAGCATCACAGGTGTCTACGAAGATCAGTGGGAAGAGTATGCACCCTAAATGATGCTGGGGTGGGGAACCTGTGCCCACAAGGCCACATGTGGCCTTCTAGGTCCTTGGGTGCGGCCTTTTGACCGGGTCCAAGTTTTACAGAACTGATCTTTTTATTAAGGGGATTTGTTCTGTGAAGTTTGGATTCAGCCAGAAGGCTGCACTTGAGGGCCTTGAGGGCTACCTGTGGCCTCGAAGCCAGGTTCCCCACTCCTGCTCTGCCCTATGTGTGCAGCATGACTCAGTCCTTGGGAAGAATTAGAATTTCTTGGCTTCAGGGTAAGGATCTTTTGTGCCTATCCCACAAATGGGCAGAATCTTACCAAATATGCCCCTAGACTTTTGGCATCTTGTCAATAGTAGGAAAGCCCTATATTTTTACTATAATGTTACATTTCTTTTCTTTTCTTTCTTTCTTTTTTTTTTAGGCAATTGGGGTTAAGTGACTTGCCCAGGGTCACACAGCTAGTAAGTGTTATGTGTCTGAGGCTGGATTTGAACTCGGGTCCTCCTGAATCCAGGGCCGGTGCTCTATCCACTGCGCCACCTAGCTGCCCCGAGAGCTGAAACTTTTTCCTCTCTTGATTAAGCTGCCTAATTACACTCAGTAGGAAAACTTATTCACTCTGTATTGTCTGGGTGGATATTCTCATAAGTACTTTCTCTTATTTCTGTTTTGCTGTCTACTTGGATAAGTGGATTTGTTAAGTGCATTCATTATGGAAATGGCATTTGGTGGGAAGGGAGTCAAGCCTTGGTTATATTGTTTGGTCTCCCCCTTATCCCAGTAAGGGGCAGCAATTAGGAGTGTGTCTTGAACATAAAAAATTACTTCCCCTAGACTATTTAAATGTGCAGATATAATTCTAGTTCAGTACTCCCTCTCTATGAGGAGAGGCCCCAACTTCCTACTTCCTTTCCTGGAAAGAATCATAGTCCTTCTACAGTTTCTGTCCAAGGGATATGTACTCATGTTTCAGCTCAATGGACTGTCCATCTAATATACATCATAATCTAAACAACAGACATCCTACGTTTTTCCTACATAGATTGTAATTTTTTTTAAGAGTTTGGAATCTCACTAAAGAGACTGCAATGTTACAGGTCTAACTGAAATCAACACAATACCTTCTGTAAACAAGAGCATGTGGTTGTTGGTGGAGTTGTGAAATGATCCAACCATTTTGGAGAACAATTTGGAACTATGCCCAAAGGGCTACAAAGATGTGCATACCCTTTGATCCAGCAATAGCACTTCTAGGGCTATATCCCAAAGAGATCAAACAAATGGGAAAAGGACCCACATGTACAAAAATATTCATAGCAGCTCTTTTTGTGGTGGCAAAGAATTAGAAATTGAGAGGATGCCCATCAATTGGGGAATGGCTGAGCAAGTTGTGGTATATGAATGCAATGGAATACTATTGTGCTATAAGAAATGATGAACAGGCTGACTTCAGAAAAACCTGGAAAGACTTATGTGGTCTGATGCTGAGTGAAGTGAGCAGAACCAAGAGGACTTTGCACACAATAACAGCCACGTTATGCAATGACTAAGATTGTTAAACTGAACCCTTCTCAGCATTACGAGGATCTAAGACATCTCCAGAGGCCTCGGGATGGAAAATGCTGTCCACATCCAAAGAAAGAACTATGGAAGTCAAATCGCTATCACTTATCTTTTACCTTCTATTGAGTTTTGTTTCATCTATCTGATGGTTCCTCCTATTGGTTTTAATTTTTACTTACAACTTCACTAATGTGAAGATATGTTTAATGGGAATGTAAATGTAAAGCCTATATCAGATTGTGCGCTGTGTTGGGGAGGGTGGGGGGGAGGAAGGGGGAGAAAAATTTTCAACTCAAAAGCATATGGAAGTGATTGTTGATAAATCAAAATAAATTAATAAACAAAACAAAACAAAACAAAAAAAAACAAGAGCATGTGGAAGACTTTAACATCTATAAGGAATCCCCTCAATACCTGCAAGGAATTCCTCTTCCACTTGGACTCTGCCCAGGAAATCCACTATCAGAGTGGCTCACCACTCTAGTGACATGTTTCCCTGTCTTATGTCTTGTTGCTGTCAGAAACTGATTCCTGATCTCAACTGTTATTGCTCTCTCCTTCCTTCTTAAATTGTTGTTGTTTTCAAAGAGAACATTACATGGTAATGTCTTGACTTGCATGTGAATTGGATTTAAGGGAAGCAAAGCTGTACAAAGTCATCAGCCTTACTCCTCCAGAGTCACTGAAGTCCAGTGGCAAGACAAAAGTCAAGATGGCCAGTGGTGGCCCAGGATATCTTCTTAAATTATGCATAGAGAGAGAGAAGGAGTCAAGATAGCAGAGTAGTGGTAACAACTTAGCAACAACATGCCCCTCCAAACAACTAACAAAAAGTTGGGGTGAGACATTTTTCCAGCCTAAAAGCAACTTAAGAAGTTGGCAGAAGAGCTCTATGACACTAGGCTGGGGTCAGTCTGGAGCAGCCCGAAACACACGTGGCAACACCAGCAGCAGGTCTTGGAGGCGGCTGTGGCAGTGGCAGCAGCAGTTTTGGGAGCTCTCAGGCCAGAGAAGGTCAGAAAGAGAGCCCAGGAGACCCTCTGCTGGCATGGGATGCAGGGCCCTGCTGCACTGACCACACACAATTCCATGTTGTGATTCTAGGGCAAAGAGAAGTATGAGCACTTGTTGGAACAGGATCCCTGGTTATAGCTCCAAGTCAGAGAAGAATGCTTGTGGTCTCTCACAATGGAGCAGGGGACCTGGTCACATTTCCAGGGCCAAGAGGAGTACCCTCACTTGTAGCTGCAGGGGAGCAAGGCCCTTCCTCAGTAAAGACCAGAACACAAGCCAGGAGAGCAGTGACCACACAAGTTCCTTGGATCATACCACGTTGGATGCACTAAAAACTTACATACCCACAGAAATAACTCTGAAAATAGCAGCACAAGAAAAGCTGAAGCTTGGGACTGTGCCCCCTCTCCCCGACCTGGGAGCAGAACCCAACTTTAATATAAAGTTAAAAGTCAAGAAATAGGCTGAAAAAATGAGCAAACAATAACAACAACAACAACAAAAACCCCTTACTATAAAAACCACTATGATGACAGAGAAGATCAAGACACAAACTCAGAAGAAGACAATGATGTCAAAACAGCTACAAGCAAGCAAAACTCCATAGAAAAAAAATGTGAATTGGAGACAAGCCCAACATGAATTCTTGGAAGAGTTTTAAAATGGTTTTTTTTTTTAATGAAATGAGAGGAAAAATTGGGAAAAGAAATGAGAGTGGTGCAAGATGATTATGAAAACAGAGTCAATAGCCTGGCACAAGGCTGAAAAAAAATACTAATGAAAATAACACCTTGAAAGATAGAATTGGCCAAATGGTAAAAAAAGGCACAAAAATCCACTGAAGACAAGAATTCCTAAAAATGCAGAATTAGTCAAAGGGAAAAAGAGGTACAAAAGCTCACTGAAAAAAATCATCCCTTAAATATTAGAATAGGGCAACTGGAAGCTAAGGACTCCATGAGACACCAAGAAACAATAAAACAAAGTCAAAAGAATGAAAAAAATAGAAGAAAATGTGAGACATCTCATTGGAAAAAAACTTATCTAAAAACCAGATTGAGGAGAGATAATTTAAGAATTATTGGACTACATGAAAGCCATGATCAAAAAAAGAGCCTAGACATCATATTTCAAGAAATTATCAAGGAAAATTGCCTTGATATCCTAGAACCAAAAGGAAAAATTGAAATTGAAAGAATCTACCCATCACTTCCTGATTGAGATTCAAAATGAAAACTCCCATGAATATCATAGCCAACTTTCAGAGCTCCCAGGTCAAGGAGAAAATATTGCCAGCAGTCAGAAAGAAACCATTCAAATGTCATAGAGTTAGAGTTAGGATCACATAAGATTTAGCAGCTTTTATGTTAAAGGAGTGGAGGGCTAGGAATATTATATTCTGGAACGCAAAGAAGCTAGGATTACAACCAAGAATCACCTACCCAGCAAAAATGGAGTATAAAATTTTCAGGGGGAAAAAATGGATATTTAATGAAATAGAGGACTTTCAAACATTCCTGATGAAAAGACCAGAGCTGAAACTTTGACATTCAGGCACAAGATTCATGAAAGAGAAATCATAATGGAATCAATAAGGTTAAACTGTTTACATTCCTATGTAAGAAGATGATAATTGTAACTCCTCCTTTGTCATTATCAGGGCAATGCTTCCTTCTCCTTCCCCTGTCCCCTCCTCCTCCTTTCCCCTCTGTCCACGTGGGGAGTCATACCCCTACATGTGGGTGCTCTATCCAAAGGAGTATAAATCACTTATACTTTACAACATATCTTGGGGTTTGGGAGTAATTTTTTTTCTTTTCTTCCCTTATTTATTCTATCTTTTTTTTTAACTGGGACAATTAACTCTTTTATCTCATGTCGTGTTCATTTATGATTTCTTGAAATATAGCTCTGAAAAACTAGGCTTTGATAAAGCCAGTTGGGATTCAAATAGAACAACTTGACTATGCCTTTAAACTCATATTACTCTGGCTCTCACTGACCAGCCAATAATGGGTCCCAGCCCAAGCCTCACTTGCTCATTGTTTGGGTTTTGATGCTTCAGAGTGAGTGCAAACAGAAATTGTTTCTGTTCTGGCCAGAAACTCTGAGAGTCTTCCCCTCCTAGACTGATTCTTTTGAGAAGGCAAATTAGACTATCTTCTGCTGCATTTCTTACTTAGCC